TGGTTCTGTTATTCAACATGCTGATTATGTTGAAAATAATGGTGGAAATGGAGAAATTGAAGAGGATTATTTTATGGCTGGAGATGATTTTTTAGATATGAATAGAGTACAAGATAGGGCTTACTATGCTAGAATGAAATTTTCTGTGCCAAACGATCCATTTTGGAAGGATATGTGGTGAGTGATTTTTTTGGGAAATTTTAGAGTGTGTTTAGGAATTAACGGGGTGACGCCATATTTTTCTTGTCAGGATAATTTTTTGAAATCTGTAAACTTTACTTTAAAATTTTCGATTTAATAATCGATCATTTAATTAAAATGCTTAAAAATTGTTGTAAAAGATTCTCATATTAAAACAAATAGGTATTTGCACCGAAGAGATGACCAACCGGATGAAATGGACCATAATGTAAAAGAAGCATGGGCATTAGGATATACTGGACGTGGAGTTGTTATTACAATTCTAGACGATGGATTAGAACGAACACATCACGATTTGGCAGCAAATTATGATCCAGATGCTTCCTATGATGTAAATGATAGAGATGAAGATCCAATGCCGAGATATGATTATGCAGATGAAAATAGGCATGGAACACGTTGTGCAGGGGAAGTAGCTGCAGTCTTTAACAATTCATTATGTGTTGTTGGAATCGCTTTTAATGCAAAAATTGGAGGAATTCGAATGTTGGATGGTATATTTTTACTTTATTGGGCTAGAATCAGCCTCTTACCGGAAACCCTTCAATAGATTTTATTTTTTAAATTTATTTTAAATAATTGTAAAACCTTTCAGGTGATGTTACCGATGCTGTGGAAGCTACTTCTCTTAGCCACAATTCTCAACATATTGATATCTATTCGGCAAGCTGGGGTCCGGATGATGATGGGTATTTATTTAAAATATTCAATTTTAAATAAATTGAATTTTTTAGAAGAACAGTTGATGGCCCTGCAACTTTAACTAAAAATGCTTTTGAAAGAGGAATTACTGAAGGAAGACAAGGAAAAGGATCAATCTTTATTTGGGCATCAGGAAATGGTGGAAAAGGTTTTTGTTTAATTTTTTGAAGAGAACATTAGAGATTTTATATTTATTAGATCAAATTATGGGAATCGTCTTTTTTCTTAATAAAATTTAAAAAAAAATAAAATTTCCTTAACTTTAAGATGCTGATTCTTGTAATTGTGATGGCTATACAAATTCAATTCACACACTCTCAATCTCATCTGCTACTGAACGGGGCAATATTCCATGGTTTGTTTTAGATTATTTTCCTTTTTTAATTTAAAAATTTTTTAAAGGTATTCTGAGGCTTGCAGTTCAACTTTAGCCACAGCCTATTCGAGTGGTGCTTCTGGTGAACGAATGATTGTAACAACGGATCTGCGTGACTCTTGCACTAAAACACATACTGGTACTTCTGCTTCAGCACCTTTAGCAGCTGGAATTGCTGCCTTAACTTTAGAAGCTAATCAAAATTTGGGATGGAGGGATTTACAGGTTGGAAATGTTTTAGAAAATTTTTAATTCTCGCACTTTTAAAGCATATTGTTGTGAGAACAGCAAAACCAGTTAATCTGAGGGCTGGAGATTGGAGATTAAATGGAATTGGCAGAAATGTTTCTCATTCATTTGGTTATGGTTTATTGGATGCGGGTGCTATGGTTAGATTAGCAAAAGTATGGAGAAATGTTCCTAAATCAAAAAAATGTCGTGCAATATATCCAAATCCTTACAAGTTTGTTTCTTTTAATTTATAATAAAATTGGAGAGATAACGGGACGGAAAAGTTTAAATCAAGAGAATTTGGCTAAAAATGGATATCAAATCATTGAATGAAGTTGAATAATTTGGAAATTAAAATATACTCTAAATTTTCTAATAAAAATCTTTTACAAGTTTTCCTTTTTAATTTTAAATTTTTATAGAACAATTCCACGTGGTAACAGACTACATTTACAATTATATACAGATGTTTGTGCTGATAAAAGAGATAATCATGTAAAATATTTGGAACATGTCCAGGCTATTGTAACTTTGAGTGCACCAAAAAGAGGGGATATTCAAATATATTTAACAAGTCCTAGAGGTTTTTTAAAGTTTTTTTCAATTTATAAAAGATATTTTAAGGTACTCGTTCAACTCTTTTAGCCAAACGTCAACGAGATACAAGTAGAACAGGATTTAAAGATTGGGCTTTTATGACTACACATAATTGGGGAGAAAGTGCTTATGGAACGTGGTCTTTGGAAATTGATAATGATGGACTTGATGGTAAGAAAAAAATTTTTTTAAATCTTTGTTCTACTCCAATTTTTTGTTTAGAAAGTTTCTGACTAAAAATATCACCTCCTCCATAATAAAATGATTCTTTTAATTATTTAGATGCTGAATTGCTTAAATGGGAATTGGTTTTATACGGAACAGATGTTTTTATTGGGCCAACAGGCTTTGAACCCTCCTCTGCTCTATCTGAACGTTCTGTTCAAACATCACACAACGGGGATTCTTTTACAGATTCTGGCGTTGAACAACGGTCAATTAGGTGGATTTTGGTTTTGATTGCCTCACTTTTGCCTCTATTAATTGGACTTTTAGTTTTATTTTAATTATTTTTAAATGAGAAAATTATTTTTAAAAAGTCGCTCGATGTGGTATTCTGTTACTTTAGTTCCTTCAATTTATTAAAATTAAAATAATTTTCTCAATTTCAATACAAAAATATAGGTATATGTGATTGACTCTAAAAAAAGTAAAAAATACTACCTACCTACTTTTTGACTTTTCGGCGCTTTCATAATTTTTTGTGCTTATACTTGCCCCTTTTAATGTTGTTAAAGCAATCCAAATTTTTAAAATAAGTTATTTACTTAAATTTGTGGGCATTTATCTACTTAATTATTGTGTATATTTAAATATATAGGTATTTAAGTCTGTTAGAGAGATTGAATGATTGAAGAGAGGATTTAATTAAAGAAGATAAAATTTTGATAATTTCTTTAAAAATTTAATTTCACATTCAATCTCTATTTTAATTAACCACTTATCTAATAAATATATTAGTTGGCTAGTCTTCTTTAAAAAATCCAAATAATTAATTTTAATCTCATTTTTATAATTGTCCCCTATTTTTTTATTGTATTTTGTATACGTTTTAATCATTTTAATAAATAAAATAAATTTTTATGGTTTAGCGCGAGGCATTTTATTTTTTTGTTGTAAAAAAGATTGCTTTGAAAATATTGGGTAATACTTATAAAATGCTTGCTAATTTGGTTTAAATAAAAATTATTGATATTTGTCAACGATTAACATTCTCGAATATCCGACTATCAGTTATTGATGTTAGCCTACAATATTTAATTTGTAGTTTGGTGTCAGTCCTTTGTAAATAATCCTCAAATAAATTTTTAAAAATTCATTGAATAATTTAATACTTGTAAAAGAACTATTAAAGGTTTAAAATTTTATATAAAAAAATATTTTTTTAAACAAGTACATAATTACTAAACAAAAAAATATCTTTTTAATCGCTTAATTTCCCTCGAATGTACTTGATAGACTTTCTCTTCTATTCTTTCTTTAGCTCCTCAAAGCTCATCTTCAAAAACGTTTAGGAAATATTACACAATTTGTCGCCCTAATTTCTCGCGAGCTTAAAAAATATTTAATGGAAAGAAAAAATGAACGAACATTTTTAAGAGTATTTTAAAAAACAAGAAAGGATTAAATATAAAAATTAAAAGAAAAAAGGAAGATTTTGTATAGCCGTAGGGGAGAAAGTTGCGCAAAGAAAAAAGTATTTTTAATTTAAAAAGAAAAGATGAGTGAAAATGTAAAGAAGTATTTTTTAAAAAAAGGATTGAATACAACCAAATTCTCTCTTTTTTTAGTTTGTTTAAGGAAAGAAAAATTTTTTTGGAGAAATTAAATATTTGACAGAAATATCCTTGTATGTTTTCAACAGAAATTTTGTTTATTTAATTACGCTTTTTAAAAAAAAATTTAAATTATTTTTTCACATCACAGTAAAATTATTTATTCCCCAGGCCAGCAAATACCAACGATTCACTTATACACATTTAAATTTATTGTTTTATCTGAATTTCTCGTATTTATTGCGTATAAATTGAATTGAACTGATGGGGGAATTGAGCTGGAAATTCCAAAAAAATAATTTTGGTTATAGTGATTTAGAGTTTTCGAATATCCTCAAGTTCGGTCCCTATTTTAATAAACCTTTTCTCTTTTTAAAAGTTTTTGATTTATTTATTACAAGGAAAGGGAATTATGTAATTAATTAATTAATTAAAAACAATTTAAATAAACTTTTTTTGCAAACTTTCAATTTCCTTTATTCTCTCGCTAATAATTTTATTATTTTCTCCTCCTTTATTATTTTAAATATTTAAAATTTAAAAGTTAACACAACAATTTTCTTCATTTTTTTTCTCAATTTATGAGGAAATTAAGCAAAAAATAGGATGAGTATATTTTCTTTTAAAAAATTACAAGAAAGGAATTGTGGGAAAGAGGACAAGAAGAAGAAGAAGAATAAAATAAGGTAAAAAAATAAAGGGGAGAGAGATCACCTTCATTTTGACTATTTTTATTTCTTTTTTTATTCTTCTTATAGAAAAGTCTTCCGTAACTTTTTCAAAATCCCTCTTCTCTTTCGCTGCTTGATTTCTTTTTTACCTCATGGCTTTTTTAAAAGAAAATTCTTTTTTTGAATTGATTTATTTTTAAATTTTAGTAATGATTAAAAATAATTATGTTTATTTTTTATTATTTTTAATTATTCAATTAATTAATTTTCAAATATTTTCTGATTGTGAAAATAAAATAATTATTGGTAAATAATTTTTTTGAAAAAATTAAAAAAAAATAAATAAAATTTTTTGAAGGTAAACAACAACAAATTAAACGTTCAATTCAAAATAAAACAAATATTTTCAATAAATTCAGCACAAATCCTTTATTAACTAAATTGGAAATGTTTAATGAAGGAGGGAATTATTTGGAAAATAAAAAAGAATTAATAAAGTAATTAGTTTTAAAAAAAAATTAAGAAAAATTGTTTTTGAGATAACTGACTTGCTTGCTGTCTTACTAGTTTATTTAATATTTAATTGAAAAAAATATAACAGAAACACTAATTTAGATAATCTTAAATTTTGTTTAATCGAAACCTTTAAATAATTCTCTAATTATTTTTTAGTCCTGTTGGAGGCTCTAACAACACATATTTCAATTCATCTTTTTTAAAATTAATTAAAATTAACAGAAAAAAGGAGGCTAGTAGACTTAGAAAAGAAGAAAGATTAAAAAAACAAAAAAATTCTTTTAAAAATTTGAGGAAAATTTCTGATAATTTTAATGAATTACAGCAATTCTTTAATTCAACTTTTTTTAATTTGGCTATTCCTTTAAATGAAGAAAATAATAAAATTGAAGAAAGACGTTATTTAGATGCGTCTTGGGATGACAGAAATAATCGAAAGTTAATTGTAGAAGAAAATAAGGTAAAAAAAGTTTCTTAAATAATTTAGTTGAGGAAAAAATTTTTATTTTCTTAAACTTGGATTTAATAAACTTGTTTGAGTTTCCTGTTGTTGTTAGAATCTCTCATATATTTATTTTTTTCTTTCTTTTTAAGGAAGAACACCAACAAATTCCTCCATTTGAAGTAACTGATTCACTTAAATTAGCACTTTCCTCAACAAAACCAACAATAGAAAGGAGAGAAGATTTATTAGAAACTTTAATAAAAACAAAACCTTTAATCGAACAAGAAAAATTATTAAATGAAGAAGGGCTTAATAATTGGATAAATCCTTGGGAAAGACAACGAGGAGAAGATAGAGAAGGAAGAAATAATAATTATTTTAATATTGAACAGGTAAATAAATAAATGGTTTTTTAAATTAAATCTGTAATTAAAGTTTAATATTTATCTAATATTTATCTTCAAAATTTAATTTCAGTAAAAAAATTTTTTTAATTTTCTAGCCCAATTCTATTTCAACTTTTATTTTTTCTTCCTTAACAACCACCCCTCCTCCTTCAACACCAACAAAACCTTTCTCATTTTCAATAAAACAACAAACATCAATATCCCCACCACCCCCCACCCATTCAATAATGCCCGGTGCTCATTTTTATGTAGATCAACATGTTAGTAGAGGAAGATTTGGAAGAAAACCTCCATTGGCCCCAACATTTGTTTATGATCCAAATGTTTTACAAAGGTATAGGGGGGAGAGGGGATTTGAAGAAGAAATATTTTTTATTTTTTTAAAGTCGTTATGGATTTAATGGAATACTTTCACAATTTTTACCTAATGGAAAATTACAACGTTTTGGGACTGGAATAGTAGATCATAGGCAAAATGGAGTTGCTTTATTACAACAAAAATCGACAAGTTTACCTTCAGAAAATTGTAAAAATAAAATTATTCTTTTAAAAATTAGGAGGTGATTTTATGTGGGTTTTTTGATTAAAAAGGCGCTCGTTAATAATTAATATTTTTAAAACAATTTTTCTAAAAGAATTGTTTATAAAATTATTTCAAAATTAATTAAAGTAATTTCTCCACCTTCTACAATTTTCATTATACCTTCATCATCATCTTCTCTACAATTACCACTTAAAATAGCTAAACCAATTCCTTCTAGTCATTCATCAATTAATAATTTAAATAAAAATTTAATTATGAAACCACAAAGAGGAAATTCCTTAAAATGGATACCTTTAAAAGAATTGGAGAAAATAATTCCAATAAGTATTTCTTCTTATTCTTTTACAACAAAAACAACATCTCCTCCCCCTCCAACAACAACAATTTTTCCCCCAACAACAACTACTTTATCTTGTAATTAAAACTTTAATTAATTAATTAATTAATTAATTAATTAATTAATTAATTAATTAATTAATTAATTAATTAATTAATTAATTAATTAATTAATTAATTAATTAATTAATTAATTAATTAATTAATTAATTAATTAATTAATTAATTAATTAATTAATTAATTAATTAATTAATTAATTAATTAATTAATTAATTAATTAATTAATTAATTAATTAATTAATTAATTATTTCCTCCATAACTCCTTCCAAATTTCCGAATTTTTCGATTAAATATTTTAAAATTAATGAAAATAAGTTTTTCTAAAAATAATAATTTCTTTGAAAAAAAAACTTTTTTGTTTTTTTAAATATTTAAATAATTTTTAATTAAAAAAAGATTTTCCTCCTCCTCCAATGTTGTGTTCTTCTGGTCGAGATATTATAATATTATCCTCTAAAGGTTATAGTTTGGCTGAAATAACAAAAAGAAAAAGAAATATTGAAGAAAATAAAGAAATTATTTTGGAACAAAGGGGAATGACTGAAAATGAATGTAAAATTTGATTAGAAATTAAAATTTAATTTTTTAGGTATATTTTCTTGTATGGTTAATATAGCCAAAGGAAAACAGCCATTTAAATGTTTAAGTGCAACTTTTGATCAAATAGAAAATAAATGTTTACTTTACGGTCCTGGAAGTAGTGCTGATGGAAGTGTTAGATTGGTTGGTGGGGTTAATTTAAATAAAAAAAGGGAGGGGGGATTTCAATTTAAAAAATTAATTTCTTTAAAATGTTTCCAATTTAAAAAATATTTTTTCGGTTCGGATATCGGACCCGGGTATCCGAAGATTTCCAACTATCCGCCAACCTTAATTTATACTAGGGCGTCTTGCCGACATAAATTCCCAATTTCGAGACTGTATGGATAAAGCTTTTAACAAAAGTTTTTTAAATTAATTTATTTTTCAATTTATTTAGATACCAAACACAAATTCAATCCATTTTGAAAAAGGGTGTATAAACGAGGATTTAGTTAATTACTGTAATGGATTACCTATTTATCGTTACCCCCAAAAATCATTAATTGGATATGCTATAGGTTCTAAATATTCTGAAACTTTAATTAATTGTTTGGAAAATTGTTGGTTATATGTAGATAATGAAAATGTAAAATGTAAATCTGTGGTAAGGGTTTTTTTTTATTAAATAAATATGAGAATTGAAGAGAATTGAAAGAATGATATTTTTTGGTTAGGTTATTGGAAGAATTTTTTAGAATTGACAAAAAAATTTCCTCAATCTTTAATGAGAGTTTTGTTTGATTAGTTATATCAGGGGCTGAACATTAATTAAAAAGTCCACAATAATTTTAGGCAAAAATGTGTTATATTTTTTATTAAAGACTTTTTTAAAAAATAATTTTTAAAAAGATGTTTTATTACGAAGAGAATTTAAATAATTTAAATACTTCACATAATTGTATATTAAATTCACAAAATTTCGAAAATATTCCTTCAAATTATTTTGTTGATGAAAATGAAGTTTTGGTTGATTATGCTTCTTTTGAAGGGTGTAAAAAAGAGGGTGAAGAAGTAGAAGAAGAAATTAATGGAGAAACAAGAACGACAATAATTAATGAAGAAGAAAAAGAAGAAGTAAATAAAAATATAAATTTTGGAATTAAAAATATAAAAATTGTTGTAAGTTATTTTAAAATAAATAGGTGTTTATTTTTGTGAGGAAGGAAAGAGAGAGGTTTCAATAAAAATTACTTTTTACCTTTCTTTCAGTCTGGGTATCCGATTCATAGTAAGAATAAATATACTAGTTAGTTACCTAAATAACCAAAAATCACACTTACCTTTACTTTCATCCCAATACGGTCCCCGGGGGTGTATATTAAATTCAATGCATATTTATAATCTTTACTCTAAATCCTCTCTATTGAGAGATACCCAATGAAAAAATTTATTTTTAATTATTTTTAGTCATCAAAATTAATTTCTTTGCCTTCTCCACAACCCAAAAAAGCTTTATCTTCTGAAATTTTAATTCCAAAAAAATTTAAAAATTCTTCTCCTCGTATTTATTTAAACAAAACAACCAAAAAATTTCAATTAATAACAACAACAAATAATTTAAATAAAAATAATTTACAATTAAAAAGGCATAGCGGAGAAACTAAAATTGAAAGGAGAAGGAAAGAATAAATTAATAAGTAAATTAAGTAAAAACTTGAAAGGAAATAAACTTGAAAGGAACGAAAAAAGGGAGGGTTATTCTAAATAAATTATTAGTATCTACTTTATATCAAAACTTATTATGTAAATAGATAAAGTATTTATTTGGGTGATTTTTTTAATTTTCGGCCCGAAAATTCACATAAACAATTAACAAATACCAAAGAGAATTTTTAATTTCCTTTAAATTGTTTTTCGAGTTTTAATAATAATCTAAAAAAAATTATTTTGGAACTTTTAGATTTCTATACCCATTAAATATTTTAATTTTTTGTTGTTCTCAAACTTTTTTTTTAAAATTTATTTTTCATCATTCCAATTGTTTTATTTTTTATATATTTTTATTGAAAATAGATTATTATTAAATGATTATTAAAATTATATGTATTCTCTCATTTAAATCGGATTTTATTTATTTATTTAAAAAAGACCAATTATTATATTTTTAATTTCACTTAAAACTAAATAAATATTTATTTAAAGTTTTTAAAAAAATGTCAAAATATTTTTGTGGATTTTTAAGTTTTTTCTTTCTTTTCGAATTATTTGTATTTATTTATGCTCAGGTAATTTTTGAATAATTATTTGTCCACAAATTAGTTTACTATGGAATTTATACAAAATTATATGTAGATTTGTGAAGTATTTTGTTTAGAAAATTTAATTCTTATAGTCAATGTCAATACTAAAAATTGGAATTAATTTTTAAATTATTTATCTATTTTTAACAGTCAACAAATAATTCAACTGGTTACCAAATGAGTATTTCTGATTTAATTAATAAATTACCAATTGAAGAACAAATTGTAAATTAACTAATTAATTAATTTAATTTTAAAATATTTTTAAAAAGGAACTTCAACAATTATTAGCTGGAGGGGAAAATTTAACTAAAAAAGTATTTAATGAACAAATGGATAATTGGGCAAGTAAACAATCAGAATATTTTTATGTAGATTTTTAATTATTTATTTGGGGGGGGGGGGGGAGGGGGGAAGATTTCAAAATTAAATTAATTTTTAAAAGTCTTGTTATGAAGAAATGAAAGAAGGATTTTATGATGCAAAAGAAATATTGGAGGAAAGACATGATCAATTAATGTCTAATCAAACTGCGGAAGTTAGGGATGCTGATAAAAGAATTAGGGAAATTAACAAGTTTTTAAATAAATAAATTATTTTTAAAAATAATTTTTTTTAAATTTTATAGCAATCAAAATATTACAATGAAACAAGAAAGTGACCAAATTAATGTTTGAATTTAATTAATAAAATTAGGGAAAAATGAAGTTATGTTTAACTGTGCCCGTGTTCAATTACACCAAAACAAACAAGGGATTGGGGTTTCCCTTTAGGATTGGGGTTTTCGAGTCGGGCAGACGTTCGAGTCATTTTCTTCGGATCTCATTTTTATCGGGCCGGACCGACCGAGTCTTTTTCGGGCCAAAATTTGATGCCCGACTCGATCTTTCGGACCGGGCCCCCAACCCTAATTCCCTTTTATTTTTTCTAAAATTATTTAAAAACAAAATTTAAATTATTTCTTTTAAAGCAGCTAATTAATTCTCTTCCACAAAATGTTGCTCAAACAATTATTCAATTAGCTCCATATCAGGCACTAAATTCTAACAATAACAATGCTAACACATAAAAACAAATAAAAATATTTTTGATTTGTTTGAATGAAAAAAAAACTTTGAAAAAGAAAAAAGTGTTTTGCCTTTGGGAAATATTTTCAATTTTAAATAAAAATATGATAAACTATTTACATTTATTTTTGTATATTTTTATTTAAAAGTAACATTAAAAATAAAGATTTATGTATATTTGGAATATTTTTTGGTAAGAAACTCATAAAGATTAATATAAATATGTACATATATGTCCGCGGCCAAATTACATTTCCTCCCCAAGAGTTGCTCAAGACAACCAACCATAGACAACCAACCATAAACGCAAGACAACCAACCATAAACGATTTTCATTCTTTTATAAAATCATTTAAATTTTTTTGTAAGTAAAAATTGAAAGACTATTTCCATAGCAAAAAATAGCTTTTCCAAATATTTTTGACCAAAATCTCTTTTTTCTTATTTTTTTCTAATTTATCTACAACTCCTTTTTCAAGTTATTTTGAAGGGATAAATAAATAAATAAAAAGTTTTGGCACTAAAAAAGAAAAGAAGATATACATACATAAATATTCTCCCTTAAAGTATTCTTCGTTTATATTTTCATCCATCACGCAAATATACACAAAAGAAAATTTTAAAAAAGAATATTTTGGATGTCGAAAAGCACCAAATAAATCCTTCCACTTTTTTTTGTTGGCAAAAGATAAAAACATTTCCTCCTTCTCCTTTTTCTTGTTTTTCCACCCCCATTTTTGTGTTATCCCCCCTATATTTAGCTTTAAAAAAAAAGAGAAAATCATCTTTTGGCACTTATTTTAAAAAAAAACTAGAAAATATATTTAAAATAATTATATGTAGAGACTGTTGCTTTTTTAATATTTAATTTCAAAAATTGTATAGAAATGGTAATAAATAATTCAATTAATCATTCTCAAACAACAGAAAATAAAAAAGATGAAAAGAAAAATCCATCGGTTTGTTTTTTATAAAAAGAGGGAATTAATCCTGACAGTTAGTAAATACATAAATATTGCTTTAAGTACTCACTCACCTTTTACAGGTGACTGAGTTAATGGGCAATGATTCTGCCTTCCCTTTTATTCAACTTAAAACATTTTAACTGCCAGTTAGTTGAATATTAACCTACCTTAAATTAATTATTTTTTATAAAATATCTTGTTGAGTTTTTCTCTAAAATAAACTTTCTATTAATTTTGTGGCATTAAAAATTCAACAAAAGATTTTGTTTTCCTTCTAGCTACATTTTAATTATTTATCTGAGAGAAAAAGAATTATAATCACAATTTATTTTTATTTTTAGTGCCTCTTCTTTTATCGAAAACCTCTAGCCGTTAATTTAGCGTGCCTTTGCTTTTTATTAATATATTCAGTAATTGGAGGGTGTATATTTTTATATTTTGAAGAACCTAATTGGAAAATGGCAAAAAAAGAAGAATTAATTGAAAGGCTAAAATGTGTTGAAAGAAATTTAGAATCAGAAAAAATAGAAGTAGAAAATGGTGGAGGGGGAGGAAGAGGGGAAGAAGAAAAACATTTAGCTGGTTAGAGAAAAGAAGTTGAAAGTCTAATTAAAAAATCAGAATTAAATATTATAAATAAAACTTTCTGGAAAAATCAGAATTTTTTAAAACTTTCCGAAAAGATTTTCTTCTAAAAAATCAGAATTTTAATTTAATTAAAAATATTTTTTAGCTAAACTTATTGCAAATAGAATAGTAGCTGATTGTGTATTGTCTCAAGTTCGAGATGAAAGAATGGAATGGAATTTAAAGTAAAAATATATTTTGATTTTTTCTAAAAAATAATTTTAAAAAAAGGAATGCTGCACTTTTTGGGTTTGGAATTTTAACAACTTTGGGTTACGGAAAAATAGAGCCGAGAACAACTCAGGGAAGGGTTTGTTTGTTTATTGCTTGTTTTTAATTAAAAAGAAATTCTTTTTAAAGTTATTTACTGTTTTTTATGGTTTTCTTGGAGTTCCCTTTACTGTTATTATTTTTACAAATTTTGGTCGTTATTTACAAAAATTTGAAAAATATTTAAGGAAACAATTTTGGCGTAGATGGAGGCGGCTATTTAATAAAAGAAAAACTACACAACAAATTATTAGAAAAGAGTTAAGTTTAAATTATGTTTAAATTATGCATGTTAATTACCAGGGGTGTGCCGAAACAGATTTTAAAAAATGAAGGATGAAACATGAAAAGGCGAAATGCACACCCCTGATGATTAGGAAATGAAAGAAACGAGAATAGTAATTAGTAAATTATTTGTTTCTATTTTTATTCTCGACTTTTCTCTTATTTTATTTAAAAACAATAATACAATTATTTTTATTTTTTTTTAATTTTAAAGTAGTTTAAATCCAAAATCACCAAATTTATTAGAAAATTGTAATCTACAAATAGATGAACAAATTGAAGAAATAATTGAAGAAGAAGAGGAGGAAGAAGATGAACATACATCTCCACTTACTTTAATTTTTATTGTTATACTTTATTTGGTAAAAAGGAGGGGAGAGGGGAGGGGGGGGGGAATTAAAAAAAATTAATTTTCAATTAAAGTTTCTCGGAGCTATTTTAATTGATTGGCTAGATGAAAAAGTAGATTTTCCTAATGGAATTTATTTTGCTTTTCTTTGTTTAACAGCTATTGAATATGGGAAATTAATACCTTCTGAGTTAATTTTTTGGAAAAATTTCGGAATACTAAACAGAACGCAAATGGGTCAAACTATATGTCATTCGAAAGAGCTCGTCGAGTTGAGTCGAATGATGAAAAAATTTTCGTGCGGACTCATACAGGGGCTGAGATATAGGCCCCCGAAAATCGAAAAACCATAGGGGGGACCAAGCACTTTTTTGGGGTGAAAAATTCGAACATGCAAATAATACCTCATTCGAAAGAGCTCGTCGAGCTGAGTCGAATGACACCAAAATCACCGTGATTGAACAAGATTTGACAAGGTTACGATAGAAAAACTACAAACATAAACCTATGGAGCGTCGGCGAGGCGCTTGTGCAAAACCCCGCGCTTCGCGCGGGGTTTTGCGGCACGCGCCTCGCGGGGAGTCTACGGGCGGTGGGTCTGGGCTCGTAACATAAACCTATTCCTATCTCCCTTGCTCTGGACGTATTTGGGGCCTCCGTAGCAGCAAAAATCTCCACAGATGCCATAGGTAAGGAGCTAAAATAAAAGATCATAACTTTGTCCAATCAAGTCGGATTTCATTGATTTTGGTGTCATTCGACTCAGCTCGACGAGCTCTTTCGAATGAGTTATAATTTGCATTTTCGAATTTTTTACTCCAAAAAAGTGTTTGGTCCCCCCTATGGTTTTTCGATTTTCGGGGGCCTGTATCTCAGCCCCTGTATGAGTCCGCACGAAAATTTTTTCATCATTCGACTCAACTCGACGAGCTCTTTCGAATGACATATAGTTTGACCCATTTGCGTTCTGTTTAGTATTCCGAAATTATACCAATTTTTTAAAATTATTCTTTTAATTTTTTTAATTTTTAGAGTAATTTATTTACCTATAGTAATTGTTTATATTTGTTTTGGTTTGGCTATATCTACAATTGCTTTAGGTAATTGGAAATTGAATTTTAATTATAAATTAAAATAGAGAAAATTTAATTATACCTACATACGTATAAGAATTATTTTTAGAAACAATTTCCTTTTTTGAGAAAATTTTTTGAAATAAATTCGTTTAGCTTAAACTAAAAAATAATCTTTTTAAATCTTTCTCTTTTTAATAAATTTAATTTTAATTTTTTTCTAATTTTTAATAAAAATTACATATAAAATTTTGTTATTTAAATAATTACAAAAAATTTATTTTTAAAGATATTGGGTCTACTTATGTCAAAAAACTTTATTATTTGGGTCGGAAAATAAGAAATATTGCAAGTATTAAAATTTGGTTTGGTGCAAAACAGTTTAGACAATTTTTAAATAAAAAACAAAAAAAATATTTATTCTCTTTTTTAGTTTACGGGTCAGAGAATTGTTGGTAGCTTTAGGACAAAATATCGGTTTAGAACCTGCTGTTTTGTGTGATTTAGATTTGGAAAAATTAATTTCTGTAATTTAAATGATTTTTTTAAATTAAAAAAATATTTTAAAATTAAAAGAATGCTATTCAAGTAAAGGAAGGAAGACTTAATAGAGTACCTCAAACACATATGGTAATTAATTCTTTTAAATTATTAGAATATTGTATTTTTAAAAGTTTTTTTAAACTAATTGTAAGTTTCCTTTAGAGGATTTTTTATAGGGAGGGATTATTAATTTAAATTTTCGAAACACTTGTTTTTTGATTGTATTTAGAATTTAAAAATTAATTTTAAATTTCAGATTATGGATGGAATTTGGCCACCAGAATTAGTTCCTCTATTTCTTAGAGACGGGCAATTCCCAGAATGGGTAGATGCAGATGAAAGAAATAAACGAAAATGGAGTGCCATAAGCCTTTTACAAATCCAAAAACGCCTTAGAAGCAGTTTACGTGGTGGCGGGGGTGGGGGAGGAGGAGGTTCCTATCGTTCATCAACGGGACAACGTTCACAATCAGAAATGTCTAATAGAAAAAGTTCTGCAATAAATAGGGGAAGTGCTAGATCTACTTTACGAACAATTAGCAGTAGTCATCACCCGCCAGACACAACACCCCCACTACCTCCTGAAAGACTTTCTGTTCGATTTGAGGTAATTTTTAAAATTTATCTGACAATTACTGACAATAAAACAAAATTTCCAATTAAAAAGAAAAATTTTGAAAACAAAAATTTCAAGATACAAGAACACAAAACCAATCTTTCTCCCCTATTATTAACAATTAAAATTCCCTACTTTTTTTACACAATTTATTTATTTAATTACAAAAATACAACATATATTTAACTACAAAAAAATTTCCTTTTATCACATAAAAATAGATCCAGCTTGTACACCAGGAGCAATATATTGAGAATTAGCTACTCCTCCTCCTCCTTTTTTCTTCTTACTATTTTCATCACTATTTTCTTCTTTACTTTTTTCTCTGTCCGATGTTGATTCTTCACTTATAGTATCAGGTGTAACAACGCCTTTAGCAGCATTTAATGAAGTAGCGCCAGTTGCAGAATTGACTGTCGATTTAGAACCTCCAACCATTCGGCTAGCTGTGGCTGCTGATTTTGTTGTTGATTTTGTTGTACTGGAAATTGAAAGAGTTCCCCATCGACTTGCAGCAGTTCCTCCTCCAGCTCCTACTTCCATTAGGTCAAGCTCTTGCGGAACATCACAAATTGATTTTGGGAAGCCATCTGATTTTTTAATGTCAAATGAAGATTTTGTTCCTCCTGAAGAAGATGCTCGCTGACTTCCCCCTCTTTTGGTATTTTCTCCTGATTTGTCGCGGCTCTTGCTTTTTGTACGGCTATTCTTGCGCGCCCGAGCCTCATTCCTTGCCTTTTTCCACTCGTTGGAAATTTGCTTTATGGCATACTTTAAAATAATTAAATGAAAGAATTTACATTTAAATTAAACTCACACATAGAAGAACACAGGCACCAATACTAAGAATGGGAGCAATAATGATGTTAATGATCATCGCCCAACTCTTCCCCCACTCCCGTTCGGCTGTTGCATCTTCTACAATCATCGACAATCTTCTTTTTCCATCATTTGGGTCCCGAAATTCCGGTTCGTTGTCGATAACAGCGACTGACTTTGCCAAAATAGCAGAAGTGTTGAGAAAAGTGAAGATTGTAGTGATGAGCACAATTTTTGAAATGTCCATTTTGAACTGAAAAGTTGTTTGAGAATTAGAAGGAGAAGATTAATTAATGAATAAAATAAACTTACATTTTTGTGAAATGAAGTCAAAAACAATTTAGGTAGATTGATTGGGTGAAAGATTTTATTAATAAATAGATCTGCTTTTATATAGTCTGAAAGAAATACTTTTATCCAGGGCTGCGATCAAGAAAATGTTAATTTTATGTACAAAATGTTTAATTTGCTATAAGTACATAGTGGGGAAATTTTCCATTTATAAGTACACTACAAAAAAAATTTTTAATTTACTTTTTTTGCAGACAAAATTTTGAGAATTTTGAGGTTAAATTCCATTCTTTAATTCAACTTCAATTAATTCAACTTCAATATTTTCAATTTCGTAAATACGGAGGTCGGTTTGTAAGTATTGTACTTCCAAAGTAAACACGAATCGCAGCCCTGCTTTTACCCTTGTTGATTTTCAACTTATAAACAAATAAAATTAATATAAATCTTTAAATTTATTTGTCTGCAATTGTCAGAATTATTAAATTTAAATAAAATATTTTAAAAAATTATTTTTTAAGGAATTTGTTCACTCTTACGATGACGAAGAAGAAAAATATTCAGAATCATCCCCTATAAATAAATATTTTTCAAATCAACATTTTATGCGCAAATCAGAAACTGTGCCTTCTACAAATAATCCCGATATTTCATTGGCACGTTTGTGTACATTTCCTTCACTGGCTTTTCGTTACAAAGAACAACAAGAGATTAATAATAAAAAACAAAATTCTTTTAAAAATAGAAAAAAATCGAATCAAAAATAAATAGGTAGAAACTGTAAAAAAGTAAATAAATACTTTGTTTCTAAATTTATTTTTTCTAAAAATAAACACTAATTTACTTCCTATTTTTAAATTTTAAAATCGCTAAAATTTTACCGATAGATATTCTGGATTCTGATTATCCCCCCCTTCCTTTTGCTATCTTCATTTTCTCTTTTAAAGAAAGAAGGAGGGCAAATAATTTTCAGGGAATCTAGTTGTACATACATCAATACGGCACCATATCTAAAATACAGTCAGGTTTACCCCTATTGGTAGAATACGGTAGAAGCATAAATGTAGACGTGATAATATAAAAGCCGGCACTTTTTTCACTGTATAACCGCGCCCTTCAAATCATCAACAACTTGTCTCTGCTCTTCGTGCTCAACGTTTGCTGCTGCCGCCATGCAAGTCTTTGTCAAAACGCTCACAGGGAAGACGATCACCTTGGATGTGGAGCAGTCGGACACCATCGAAAATGTCAAAGCCAAGATCCAGGAGAAGGAGGGGATCCCCCCAGAGCAGCAACGTCTCATCTTCGCAGGGAAGCAATTGGAGGATGGTCGTACGTTGGCCGACTACAATATTCAGGTGTTTAATTAATTTAGATCTCTCATTCGTTTTTAGCGCTAACCAATTCTCCCTATTTTTTAGAAGGAATCCACTCTCCATCTGGTGCTGCGTCTTCGTGGAGGCATTCGCGTCAACATCATATCGACTGGCCACTTCACCTGCATGAATGATGGGCGAATCCAGGACATGGAGCTCAAAGGGGAAAAGTTCAGCGTGGAGATCGGCGAGAGCGACACCGTGGCAGTTCTGAAGGATAAGATCAAGAAGGTGAAGAAGATGCCTCCCGCGCAGCAAATCCTGACCCTTCAGAAGCAGGTGCTGGCTGATGACAAGAAGGTTGGGAACCTCGGAATCAAGGCAATTTTTTGCCTTTCTCCAACGTCTAAAATAATTTTTTCTTTTTTTGTAGAATGGCTCGGAGTTGCAACTCACCTCTACACTGGACAACGACGAAGATGTGTTGGCTACAGGAGATGAAGACTAGGTGCCGCGTTCGCACAGGACTGAAGGAGCGAACCTGAGAGGAAATAGGTCATAGATGTATGTCGATAATTGTAACCCTGTACATTTCGATAATTGTAACCCTTTTGATATTGTGATATTTTTGCCCTCATTGTTGTCTTTGTTCACAAATGTATGGATATATTGTAAACTTGTATGTACATATATTTTGTTGTGATGATGAATAAAATGGTTATAAACTTTGTTATGCTTTTCTCGATTAGGGTTTGAGTTTCTAGTGATATTTTCTCTGATGATCAATATCTTTTGAGTTTTCCTTTTGAACTTCCATTCTCCTTTTGTCCATTTTGCCCTTATTGACCTTCTGACATTTTCCTCCACCGTTTGTTGAATTTATTCTTTCGTTTTCCGGACTTAGTCTGAATTGTTACTCGATTTGAATTTTTTGTTCTTCACGTTTTGCCATTATTGCCCTTTTGTTTTTAGGATTTTTAAGTATTAATATTTCGATTTACATTTTATCTGATGCCTAAATAAATCTATTCAATAAAATATTTTTTAGTGTACATGGTGTTTTTTTCAAATAGTGCTTCTTAATTGAAACACCCTGTATTTTAAATGATTCATATTTCTATTCCATCTACTCGTACACAAACAGAACCTGATGATCCATTCAACAAATATACTGTAAAAATTTATATTTTTCTTTAAAATTAAAATAAAAAATATTTTTTTAAAAGGTTTATGATATTCATGTAAATGGAGCTTTTCATGCAAGTGTTCGTTATAATTTACTTTATACACTTCATGAAAAACTTGTTGAAACTTTTGGACATCGTTTAGAAGCACCCGAATTTCCGCCCAAAAAAATATGGAAATTAGACAATAAATCTTTAAATGAAAGGAGAGAAGCGCTTTCTAAATATTTACAAGGAGGTTTAATTTTATAATTAATTTTGATTTTCGAACATTCCCCAATTTCCTCCTTTTAATTTTTAAGAAATTATTTTTCTAGTTATTTCGAGTCCTGATGTTGCCAGACACGCAATTATTGAAAATGCTTTCCTTGAATTTCAAGTCAGATCATTTTCTGCCTCAATAAGTAGAGTTGTTAAATTAGAAATTTTATTACCTGATGGAAGGCCTGTATATATTGAATGTTGTGCTGATGATTCTACAAATTGTGTTATGTTGGTTAGTTAAAGGAAGGAAAATATTTAATAAAAGTTTTTTTTAATTATTAGAAACTTTGCCGGGCTATAGTTATGAATGAAAGAAATATTAGATATTTTGGTTTATTTCTTGCACATCAAAGACCTGAATTATGTGATAATGGGAATGAAAGTCCATCAAATAGCTCTTCTACTCGTTTCAGCATGCTTTGTATGTTTTCTCTTTTAAATTTTTTAGCATTTAAAGACAATCTGATTTAAGCATGAAAATTAGAAAATTGCAAAAACAAAAATTAATCAATACATTCTGAGTATTTTGGCATGCTTTTATTTGCCTGGAATTCTATCCAAATATTTAAATTTTTAATCTGTTTATTTTTATTTTAAAATATTTTAGGTGTTCGTTGGCTAAAAAATTTCGAATCGCCTTTTATTTCACAACAACTTTCAAACTCCTCAAAAGACCAGCAATTTCAACATAAAATTCTCATTCGTCGAGTCTCTTGGGATCCATCACTTGAAGAACCTTTATTAGACGATCCTGGTTCATTAAAAGTTCTTTATTTACAGGTACTAAATCTTTTTTTTTAAATTTTTATTTCAACTATTTTAGGCATTAAATGATATTCAAAAGGGACTTTTACAAGTTCCTTCGGATGTAAAAACAAAACTTACTTCACTCCAAGAATTTGGAGAATTTAAACAGGTTTTTTTATAATTTATTAAATCTCTAAAATGTTTTTAAATTTTAAATAGTTTGTTCGTCTTTGTCATCTACAAGTTGGTTATGGATATGAATGGTTAGCACCTGTACTTGCAGAACTCACTCCAAAGGGTGAAATGACACTTTGTGAGTTAAAAGTTGGAAGAAGGCAATTATTACTTGAATATAAAGATGTGGAAGATAATGAGGTTTTTTATTTTTTTAAATTTCGAGAGGTTGAGGTTGTAATTTGGTAGTTTGAAAGTTCAAATTTGGGGTTCTTTTATTTCAATGTATTACGTAAAATGACTTTATTTCATATTATTTTTTAGACAATCCGTGCATGCAAATTATTATCAAAAAGGATTCGTGTTTGGCGTGTATCTCATTTAGATAATCCTTTACAACAAAATAATCAACAATTAGATAATACCTCAATGATGACATTTCAACTAGAATATTTAATTCGTAGAGATGAATTTTCTGTTTTTACATTAGAAATGGAATCAACACATGCTGTTTTACTTTCTTTATTTTTACAATCAATTGCTGATGAAATTTTACGTTCTCGTGAAGGATCCACTGTAAATTCAATTTTTTATTCTTCTCATTAATTTTTGAGATTCTTATTTCTAAAAGCTCTTTTAAGTACAGTTTTTTATTAAATTACATATTTTTAGCTCATATAATTTATTATGGAATAAAAAACCTATAGGTTAATTTTAGACTTACTAGGTCGGTTCATAAAAAAGTTATTTTTAATAAGAAAGATTTTTCCGGGAAATTTTTTAAAGATACTTCAATGATGACATTTAAATTAGAAACTTAATTAAATAGAATACTTAATTAAAACTTAATTTTACTTTTTTTTAAAGTCTCCTCCATATAAATTTGATGATTGTATTTCTATACGTGCTGCTGAATCTTTAGAAGCATCAAAAGCTAATTCAATTTTGTCTGATCAATTAAGTATTAAATCTGCTAGTGGTTCTTCTGTCTCTAATGGAATAGAAGGAGAAGTAATGCAAAATGGTTATGGAAATTTTGTAATAAAATTAATATCTTATCAAATGCCTTTTATGGAAAATGAAAGTTTTGAAGATGTTGGTGATGAAGATTTGTAGAGAGAGAGTGTCTTCAGTAGGTCATGACAGACAAAATTTTTGCTTTGGGAGAATTTTTCTTTAAACTTGTTTGTATGTGCATTTATTGTTGAGTGTGATAATTTTTAGATCATTCAAAAAATATTTTTTTATTTTTAAAATTACTTAATTTTATATTTCTTTTCGCATAATTTATTAAATAATTTTTTAAATCTCTCATTTGTTATTTTATGCATAATTTTAATATATTAATTATAAATTGTCTATTAATTTTTAAAAATTTAGTTTTTAAAATTTTTAATTTTATATTTTTATAATTTTTTATTATTTTAATTTAATTTAAAAATTTTTATTTTTTAATGCAAAATTATATTATTAATAAAATTGACGTTGCAGCAAAGGTTTTTTTTGTTTTTTTTGTAAATGGGATAAGAGGGTTATTAAATGTTTGTAGGAATTCTGACAATTTAAATTTTTCTATTGTCATTAGAATTTTTAACATTTTGGATATTGCTAATTATTGGAATAATTTTTTTATTTTCGCAGCTCGTTTCTTCAGTCGATACCCATCCCCAACATTTCTCTCCACTAATTCAACTTTCAATTTCAACAGACAACCGTTTATTTATTTTTGAATTTACTCCTCAAGAGGTAAAATAATTTTTTTTGAAAATCTTTTCTAAATTTTTAGGCCCGTGATTTTCTCAGTCATTTAAATTCTTTTCAATAAAATGGCCACTCGTTTATATCCTCGTCTTCCACCTGGTTATATGGTTAAATATAAAATAAATTTTTTATTTAAAAATTAGTTATTTTAGACACGTTCTACTTTGACAGTTTTTGCTGGTTCTAGCTGTTTATTTTGTGCTTTTGAATTGTTAAATGGAAATGAATTATTTTATAAAAAATGGGTAAATATTTTTTAAAATATTTTTAAAAATTAATTTTTATAAAGGTAATGCCTCTCGTCCATCGCTTTTTCGAACCAGAAAGTGCTCATCAATTGGGAGTTTTTCTAGCTAGTTATGGCGCATTTTTGGGTTCGCGTGAATCTTTAAAAAATTATAAAGAATTAAAATGCTCGTTATTTGGGAAAGAATTGGACAGTCCTATAGGTAAATAATTAAAAAAATTAATTTATTTTTTATAAAAATGAATCGAAAAAATATTTGTGTGTATTTTGGAAAAAATAATTCAAAAAATATTTATGATTAACTATGAAAAAATTCCTGACTTTTTATTTCTTTACTTTTCTCTGAAAGTCTCCATTTCCCTGCTTAGTTATTGGAAATTTCTGTCCCGGAGATTCTTAACATTTTTTAATAATTCTTTAAAGGATTAGCTGCTGGTTTTGACAAAGATGGAAAAGCAATTGAAGGTCTTCGAAAGAGTGGTTTTTCTTTTATAGAAATTGGTTCTGTTACACCTTTACCTCAGCCTGGAAATCCAAAGAAAAGAATTTTTAGATTTTCTGAAGAAGAGGTTTTTCTTTAAAATTTTGTTATAAATTAAAAATTATTTTATATTTAAAAAGACTGTAATAAATTGTTATGGATTTAATAGTGAAGGGGTTGGGGCTGTTGCAGCAAGACTAAAAAATGGTAAAAAATTTATATTTCATCTAATTTCTTATGTTTTGTTTATTTTTATAATTAAATAGTAAATCCCCTTATTTTTAGCTTATAATTCACAATCCCCGGTTGCACTTGGAATTAATTTAGGTAATATTTTTTATTTTAATAATAATGTTTTGTTACTTTTTAAAGGTAAAAATAAAGAAACTTTGGAAGCTATTCATGATTTCGAAATTGGAATTCATCATGTTTCTCAATATTGTGATTATTTAGTAATTAATATATCTTCTCCAAATACACCTGGACTTAGATTATATCAGGCTAAAAATGAATTAATTAAAGTCTTTTTTATTTATTAATTAATTAAATTTATTTTTTAAAGTTACTTTCTGACATTAAAGTTTCACTTGAAAGAGCAACAAATAATGAAAAAAGAATACCTAAATTATTTATTAAAATCTCTCCGGATCTTAATGATGCAGAAATGAAACAAATTTCTGAGGTTTTTTAAATTATTTTTTAATTTTAGAAAATTGAAGGAAAAAATAAAGTTAATTGTGAAGGTTTTACATATCAGAGTTTAGAAGCTTTAGGTAGTAATAGAATTCAATTGGCAATGATTTAGTTTCACTTAGGGATTTTTTTGTTTTAGTTTCACTTTCACTTATTTTTAAACTAATTTGATGAATTTAGTTGTTAAAAATAACAAAAAAATTATTTTTCTTTTTTTTTAGAAAAAAATTTGCTTTTTCAGGTTTGTTTAAACCCTCTTTATGGGGTTAATGGACTTATTGTAACCAATACAACAATTACTCGTCCAGAATCATTAAGTGAAATATCGTCAAAAGATCTTCCAAATGGAGGTCTTTCTGGTCCTCCATTACGTGAATTAAGCACAAAATGTGTTGCAAAAATGTATAGATTGACTGACGGAAAAATTCCAATAATTGGTTATTTTTAGAAATTCCCTTTTAAAAATTACTAATTAATTTTAAAAGGTTGTGGCGGAGTCTCTTCAGGTGCAGATGCTTACGAAAAAATACGAGCAGGTGCTTCAGGTGTTCAGATTTACACAGCATTAGTTTATCAAGGATTCCCAGTTGTTGGACGTGTTAAAAGAGAATTGGCTGAATTACTCAGAAAAGATGGATTTAAAAATGTGAAGGAAGCTGTTGGAATTGACAAAAAAATATTTTAAATAAAGTTTTATTTAATTTTAAAAAATCGCTCAAATTATAGACAGATAAGTGGAGATTTACAATATCTGTTTTGAAAAGAAAAAAAGATTGAGAGAATTACAATAATAAATAGAAATGAGGAAATTTTTAAAAGGAAAATTTATGCAATTGAAATTGGATAGAGGGCTTTTTCATTAATTTTTGTAAAATAAACTAGGAGATTCACAAAAAAAAACCCGAAAAAATAAGGAGGCGGAAGCCCAATTTTCTTTTCTAACATTTGAGGTAACTAAAAAATTTTCCCTCAAACATCAAAAAATAAATTCAAATATTGAATAGTCATTTAATAATTATTTTAAAATAAATCAATTAAATATGCGTAAATTGAAAAATAATGGGCAGACTAATTTAAAAGAAAAATAATAAAAAGAGAAAGCATTGACAAAATTATAATCAAAAAAAAACAAAATTTTTTGCGCGAAGTGACAGACAAACAAAAAGAAAAGGAATAATCACGAATAAATAAAAAAAGAGAAAATTCATTCAAATTTTGTGACATTTTTGTAAAAATTTAATTTATTTAAGAGAGAGAGAGGTGTGTGTTTGTGTTCTTGAAATTTTTTTAATAATAGTAAATACATTCCAAAAGGTTATAAAAACCCAATTAAAGATCACAGACACACAAACATCTCAAAAAATCTGTGGAGGACAAGTGTTTGTGAGGAAAATAATTTTTCAAAACTTTAATTATATCACCATTGTACTGTTAAACGGGACCAAAAAAATTGAAAAAAATTTTTTAATTGAGAAGTCAAAAAGAATTTATTAAATTTTTGATGTAGTGCTTGGCTCAAAACTATTTGGAAGGGAAGTATTATGTAAATCAGTTGAATGAGGGTGTTTACGTCCATAAATCCAAACTTGAAGGAGAATTAAAATATCTATTGTAATCTTTAAAAAATAAAAAGAGTTATTAAAAAATATTTTTAAAGAATTTACTTGAAGACAAGAACAAATCCAAAATTGTGCTGGACTTGCACGAACAACAAAATAAATTGTTTTGCCTAAATCTCCAATTAACCACATTAATACCATTTTTACGCTAAATAATTTAAAAATTAAAAAAATTAATTGTGAACCTTTTACAACTTAATAAAAATACTTTCCCCATTTAATACTTCTACATATTTCTAATTAAAAAATTTCTTGTAAAGGTTCGTACATGTATAAAATGGGCACTAACGCAGAGCCTCTCTATCCCTGATACCATATTTACTTAAATAATTACACTGGGTAATTTTTAATTTCTGGCTGGAGGGTATAAACTCATTAATATGGTATAACTCGTTAAAAAATAAATTTAAATTACCTCATTCCAACAGTTGATTTTCTTTGAAAATTTCGCAATAATTGGGGAATTCCAAGACATGCTTCTACAAGTAACGCACTTAATCCCAATGCTTCGACAAAATATACATTCTGTTAATTTAATTATTTTTTTTTATAAATTAAATTTTATGCTTGGTTTCTATATTTATATATTAAATGTTATAAAAATGTCAATTAAATTAAGAAAAAAATATTTAAATAAATTAAATTAATATATTATTTTATTTAAAAGGAAAAAGACTAAAAAAAGTTAGTGTCAGAAATTGGCAATTTTTTATTAAAATGTATAGAATTGAATGAATGCGCTTTTTTACTTCAATTTTTATTATTAAAAAAAAATAAAAGTAGAAATTTTTCCAATAAAAATATTGTTTTTTAATAATAAACCGTTAAAAATTTAACTACGAAAATAATTTTAGTTCCAACTAATTAATCTTATAAATTTTTTACTATAATTTTAAATAAATGTCGTAAACAAAACTTTTATCAAAACCCCTCAGAATTTTTAAAAGCTTTAGAAATTAAAAAAAATTTTTCTAATTCTGAAATCTCTCTCTCCCTCTCAATCAAAAAAAATTAAAAATGACCTCACAAATTAGTGTCACATTTTTACATTTTTATCTTTTTAATTTTAAAATGTTTTTTTTCTAGTTTGCGCCAACAATAAAGGTGTGGGGGTTTTGCGTTCTTTATAAAAATCTTTTTAGAAAGGAAATTTAATAAAATAAAAAAGGCAATAATATATAAAAATGCCTTTTCTCTCTAATAAGATTTTAAATTTAGAAAAAAGTTTAAAAAATGCAGATTATTTTTTTTCAAACAAAATTTTTATTGTTCAATTTACCAAAAAACAAAGATTATTTATATTTATTTTTATTGCAAAATTAAAAAAATTAAATTATTATTTACCTAAAAATATTTTTAGGAAGGAATCTCAAAAGTCTCAATCTCAAAAGGAACTCGGTTTTTCCCCTGTATTAGATACCTAAAATACTCAAAATTTTCGCCTGCAGTGCTACAAATCAATTTTTTAACGCATCCGGTGTTTGAAGTTATATTTAAAATAATCTTTACAAAAATTTTTAGGAAAATATAAAATATTTTTAAATTAATTTAATTGACATTTATTTAAACATTTTTGGATATTTTTAAACTTAAAAAAGGAATTTCCTTAAAAAGTACTTCAAAATATTTATATATTTTTTATTATTTTTATTTTCCTCACCGTGTAAAAAATTCCATTAAGTAAAGAGAATATTATTGTGAAAAAAAGTAATGCCACAATAAAGCTTGACAAATCATTCCATTTCCAAAAATCCTCAATAAAGTCACCATCTAAAAAAGAAAAAAAATTTTTTAAAGAAAAATTTTAAAAAAATCAGTAATTCTTTGAACAATTTTTTGAAAGAACATCCTCACCCCCCCCCCCCCCCACATAAAATCAAAAAAAAAGTCTCAACTTTTATTTAACCCAATTTTTTTCCTTTCAAAAATTAAAAACGAAATTTGATCATTCTTTAAGAAATTAAAAAAAAGAGTGTGGAAATTACTAATTAATTTGTTAAAAAGTTTTTTTTTAAATCAATTAAATAAAAAAATGTCAAAAAAGATTAAAAAAGTATGTATTTAATTAATTAAAAAAATGTTTTTAAATCAAACAACAACAAATTTATTTTCAATATTTAATTCCCAACAACAAACAACAACAAAAGCATTACCAACATTTTTAATCTTTTTATTAACAATTCCCTCACTTTTAATTATTTCTTTAACCGTTTTTGGGAATTTATTAGTTTTATTATTTAAAGCTAGAGTTGGAAGAAAGAACACAACTTTGTTAGTTTGGAATTTGGGATTGACTGATTTTTTGGTTGGACTTTTTGTACTTCCGGTTGGGGCTATTTATTTAACACAGAGAAAGTGGATTTTTGGAAGATTAATGTGTAGAATTTGGGTTAGTTGGTTATTTTTTAATTTGTGAATATTGAGAGAGAGTGAAGGGGAAATGGGTGGAAATGAAATAAGTGTTTAGAAAGAATTTAATTTTCAAAAAAAATATTTTTGAAGGTGGGAGCGGATGTAACATTTTGTACATGCTCGGTGGTAAGTAATATACTATATAATTATTTGGGCCTCAAAATTCCGAGACCCCTTTTCTAATTTTCTAAAAAACAGGTAACAATTTGTGTAATTTCTGTTGATCGTTATTTTGCTGTAACAAAACCCCTTCGATACAAATCTTTGGTTACAACATTCAAAATAATTGTTGTGATTGTTTGTATATGGATATTTTCTTTTGGAGTTTTGCTTTGCACAATTAGATGGGACTTGGAATGGAGTAAAAATAATGATGTTAGTTGAAAAGAAGGAAGATTAAAACAATTTAGGGGATATTCAGAAAATAATAGGAAATCTTAAACAGACAAAATTAAACTAGAAAATTAAAAACAAATAAAAATCAAAAAAAGATACAATGTATGAGAAACAGAATTTTAGAAGAAAGAATGATTAATAATCCCATTCTCAATTTTAAGACATGCTTTGCCGGCCACGAAATTCGTTATTTAGCCCATAGTGTTGTATTTGCCTTCTTCTTGCCTGCTTCAGTTACACTTACACTTTATTGGAGAATTTATAGACTTGCAAGGAATAGACAAAAAGCTTTGGATAGAGGATTTTTAATGATTTTGGGTCACAATATGAATTTTTTAACTAACACGCTTTCACAAACGGTTTAGAAAATTTAATAGAAAATTATAAAATTTCAAAAAAAATTCAGACAGCTTTAAGAGTACATGTAGGCAAAAATAAAGGAATGGTTGAACAACAAAGAAGAGTATTAAGAACACACGAACGTAAGAAGTTTTTTGGAGTGTTTTTTAAGTACAAGATTTTTTTAGGTATTGCTAAAACGCTTGGAGTGATTTCTTGTTCATTTTTATTTTGCTGGTTACCATTTTTCACGCTTTATCTTCTCAGTAAGACAAACTTATAAAAAATAAATTTTTGTTTAAAATATTAGACAAAAATAGCAGGCATATTTTAAAATATTATTTTCAAAAAAAATATTCAAACAGTCTTACATAGACTTTTCCTCGTTCGAAAAAGTACCAAATTTTAGAGAAAAGACAATAAAGTTTAGGACAAAATATTATCCAAAAAAATTCTTTTAATTAACAGACTACAAATGCAACGGTTGCTTTCCATCTTTAATTATTGACATAGCTTCATGGTTAGGTTATTGCAATTCAATGCTTAATCCAATAATTTATTCCTTTACTGTCCGAGAATTTAAACGTTCTGCTTTGTGTGCAATACTTCCTTTGTGGAAACAAATTTATAAAATTTGTCCAAAATATTTATGTAAACCCCCAGATTCTCAAAGAATTATTCGAAAAAAACAGCAACAATTAACAAAAACAAATCAGCAACAACAAAAAACTTGGACAACAAAACAACATTTCCTTTTACCAACAAATAATAATCAAAAAAGATATGTCCCTCCTAGAGAAAAGGAAAAAGGAGCAGTTTCTTCTTTAATGGTTAGTGCCAATTGTGTAACATCTGCTTTAATGGGAGGAGGAAATGAAGGAAGAAAAAATGAAGAAGAAAAAGAGAAGGAATTAAAAGAAGAAGAAAATAATTTAATTAAAAACGGATTTTTAAATGAAGAAAAAGAAAATAAAAAATATTCTTTTGAAGAAAGTCAAATGCTTAATAGAAATGGAATGGTTACTACAACACTTTTATTAGCTACAACAAATAATAGAAGAGTACCCAAAAAATGTAAAAACAATAAAAATAATAATTTTTATAAGATACACAAGAATGAGAGTCTAGAAAAATACAGCCAATCAAAGAATACAGCCAATCCCCAGCCAATCAAAATTTATAAGGATATTATTAAACATTTCAATAGAAAAAGTTTTCATTGTTAGACATAACTTTAAAATTTTTCAAAAAAAATTTTTTTCTAAAGTTGTAACAGCAACTTCACTTCCAGCCCCAAAATATACTAGTATAGACGAAGAGGAGGAAGACAAAGAAGAAGAAACAACAGAAGAATTTTTAACAAATGAAGAAATAATATTTAGAATGCCCTGTAAAATGTCTGTTAAAAGAAAAATAAAAAGAAGAAAGAGAAGACATTCTTCTTTGCCAGGAATTTCTGGAAGAAGAAAAACACAAAAATTAAAAAATATACAAAAACAACAAAATAATTATTTTTATCATTCAAGAACAACTTCCTCTCCTATTGGAATTTTAAGAAAAGCAACAGCTAGGGCTTTAGCTTTAAAAAACCAATTTATGAGAAGTAGAAGTAGTAGCAATTTTGAAAGAAGAAAAGAAGAAAATAATTTGGTAAGAAAATTAAAGAGGGGGGGGGGTAGAATTATTTTTTTTAAGAATTTTAATTTTTCCTTTAAAAAATCTAAAGGATTTTTTAGAATATAAAAACTTATTTCTAAATTTTAAATAGAAAATTCAAGACATAAATAAATTAAATGAAAGAAGAGAATTATTAAAAGAAGAAAATAAAGAGAAAATTAAAAATGATAAAAATTTTAATTTTTATATTGTTTGTAATACAAAAGAAATTAATGTTTAAATTTTTAAAAAATAAACTTACTCCAAATAGAAGAACGTTGATAGGATGGAATTAAACGCCGATTCATTCTAACAGAAATTTCTAACATTGCAACCTGAAAAGAAAAATAATTTGGATTTAAATTAACACACAAGTTGAAAATAAATTGTAATTAATTTTTGTATTTTTGGCAAAAAAAGGTAGAATGAAGATGTGTGAACTCCAAAAATTGATAAAAATACAGGTAATACTTTGGAAGTCGCCCCCACTTTTTTCATTCCTAATTTGTTTTCAATTTCTCATTTTATGGCAAATTATATACATATAATTCGAAAGAGCTCTTAGAGCTGACATGAGTCGAATTTTTTTATTATTTTTTATTATTTGAAATTTTAAATTACTTTCTTATAAAGAAATTAATAGTAGAAAAACTGAACCAATTCGATATATCGTTCAATCCTTTATCGATCGATTAATTTGCCCAATTCAAAGCCCCCAAAAAACTAATTTTAAATATTTAAATATAAAACAAACCATAACTAACAACATAACAATACTTTGAACCAAAAGAGGTGTTTCGAATTGTTTACCAAACCTTTTTAAATTATTTATATATATTTTTAAAAAATTTTTAAAAAAAAAACCAAAATTCAATTCTCAAAATATTAGCAATACAAAGTGCCAAACAAACAAGCAAAGAAAAGCCAGCAGCACTTTTTCTTTGATAAATTTCAGCATATTGAAATACATAAGGAATTGCACCCCCAATAACTATAAAACTGACAGCGAGGCCTAGAAGTATCATATTTAAAAGGCCCTGAAAGAAAATTAAATTTAAAAAATATTAAATAGTCCTCTCCCCTTTCTAATAGAAAATAAATTATAATTTTAATTAAAAAAACACTAATGATGCCAAAATTAAAAATTAATTTTTTAATTATTTAATTAAATAAACTTTCGATAAGAAGAAAAGATTTTTAATTAAAAAAAAGATTATAGGAATAAAAATGAAAGACTGTATATATAAAAAAAATACCATTAAAATCTGAGAAATTAAAAATAAGTAAAAAAGATATAATCGAAAAGAAGAAACGATTCAAGTAAATAAAAACTTTTAAAGAGAGAAAATAAAATTAAAACAATTAGAAAAATATAGAGAAAAGTCAGTTTGAATTAATGGTGAATTTTGAAAGAATTTTTTAAATAAAATTTAAAAAAACTTTAAGAAATACCCCGAATTAGAAAGGTTGTTAATCAAAGAGCCTTCCCAGGCCAACCCAAATTAGAAAATTACTTTGGAAATATTTCCTATTCCAAAAAAAAATTAAAAAAAACTAACGTCAAGAGGAATTGTTTGAATTCCCTTCTGTTCAACCACAAACATTGTTCCGTTTGAATTACTAAAAAGGTGAACAACTGAATCAACTGGCGAGTCTATTTCAACGATTGGTTCCTCCTAAAAAATAAAATTTTTAAAATAAAACAAAAAAATACCAAAATAGCTGTAGAAGAAGAAATATTATTTTCGTTCAATATTTGATTAGTTTCTCTTTCAATCCTGATTTGCTGCACTGAGTCATATAATCTGAAAATCGATGGATGAGAAAAGGAAAAAGGGAAATTTGAAAAAAAAATTTTTGGGAAAAGCTACATATCACTTTATTTTATTATTTTTTAGTAGGAATAACCAAATAAAAATTCAGAAAAAAACCAAATTTTTCGAAAAATTTTTTTCAATGAATTGTCCTTTCGGTAAATTATCCCTTAGATTTTTTCAATTTTAATCCCAAAACAATTAAATAGCACCAAATTAATTCCTTTCTTCCTTTTAACTAAAAAAATGGATGACAAAAAAGTACCTCATGAAAATATTTATGTGTGTAGCTATGTATGTATTCCCTTTTTAAATCAATAAACAGCTTTTTGTTGTTAAAAAAAATAAATTTATTCTTTCTTTTTTTTCAATTTAAAACCAAGTTTGTCTCTAAAAAATAAAATTTTAAAAATTAAATGATTAATAAATTGTTAAAAGAAAATTTTAAAATTAAGGCAGTCAATAAATGTGAAAAAGAAAAGCCTGACTAAAATCAATCAATCACTCTTTGGTAGGAAAAAAGTAAAGAAAGAATTAACAGAAAAAGAAAGAATTTTTTTTTTGAAAAAAAACTTAAAATAAAAATTAATTTTAAAAAAAATCGTTGTGATGGCAACCCCCCCCCTACCTACACAATATTTTTTAAGAGTATTTACATAAACATGAGAAAATTTAGTGAACAAATAATAAATCAAATACACAAAAACTTTTACTTGAATGTGAATCATAGAAAGTTAATAAAAGAAAAGAGAAAAGTCTTCTCTCCTTTTCTTAAATTAATCATCTTTTAAAATTAATAATTTTTTGTTAATAAAAAAGAATACAAAAATAATCTTTTGGGGATTAATTGAAAATCGAAAAAAATTGTGTCTAGTCAAGAAAAATTTGTACAAATTACTTTTACACTTTCTGATTATTCTCAAAATTTAAAGATACTCTTAAAAAGTAAATCTAATAAAAAAAGAGGTGGGACCCCCGGTTAAGTTGTTTTTCTTCCGTCTTAACATTAATAACATAACAATCTCTCGTACCTTTCATTTTAATTTGTAAAGTCATATAAATTTAAAAACTAAAACCAAACAAAGACTATTTTCAAATAACAAAATAAATAAAAAAAAAGTTTTAAAACAGCCCTGACCTATTTATTAAATCGCCAAACACTTGAACACAAAAAGAGAGAGGGAGAGAATTCTCTCAAATATTTCGAGATTTTTTTTATTTCTTCTCGATATATTAAAAATTCCCCTTCCTCCAAATGTCTGTCCCTTCAAAGACACTTTAATTTTAATTAATTAATATTTTTTTAATTTATTGACTGAAAAAAACTGTGATACAGTGGTGGAAAAAAGTATGGAAGCAAGAGCTTAAAAAGTAAACTTCGTTAAATTCCTCGACGTACGAACCCTAAATCATTTTTTGTCTACTATAAATTTTAAAGTCCTATCGATTACCTCTAAAATGAGTATAAATAGAAACCACTTTTATCGAGTATTTATCTTTTTATAATTGGCTAAAGTAAACAATGTAAATTTTGCGCGGAAAAAAGTATGGAAGCAAAAAAATTTTACGTTCTAAAACAAGTCGAAAAAATTTTAAAAATTTTTTATAAACATTTCCATTGATATTGAATGGAATTATAGAAAAAAAGAAGTCTGTACTTGCTTTCTTCATCGAGATCTCAAATCTCAAAAATCACTGGGAAATCGGGGTACAGTACTTTAAAAATTATTTTAGCTCCCTGAGACTTGTATAAAAAATTTCTTTTAGACCTATCTGAAAGCCCTTAAAATCTGCTACAAAATATGGTTGGTTTCATATTTGTACAAAAATTTGTCTAGGAGATAAGGAGGGACGAAATACTTAAAACTTAAAATAAGCATTTTATAGGGTATTTTGAGTGATTTCGGCTCATAATGAAATGTTTCCCTCCTTATCTCCTAGACAAATTTTTGTACAAACATGAAACCAACCATATTTTGTAGCAGATTTTAAGGGCTTTCAGATAGGTCTAAAAGAAATTTTTTATACAAGTCTCAGGGAGCTAAAATAATTTTTAAAGTACTGTACCCCGATTTCCCAGTGATTTTTGAGATTTGAGATCTCGATGAAGAAAGCAAGTACAGACTTCTTTTTTTCTATAATTCCATTCAATATCAATGGAAATGTTTATAAAAAATTTTTAAAATTTTTTCGACTTGTTTTAGAACGTAAAATTTTTTTGCTTCCATACTTTTTTCCGCGCAAAATTTACATTGTTTACTTTAGCCAATTATAAAAAGATAAATACTCGATAAAAGTGGTTTCTATTTATACTCATTTTAGAGGTAATCGATAGGACTTTAAAATTTATAGTAGACAAAAAATGATTTAGGGTTCGTACGTCGAGGAATTTAACGAAGTTTACTTTTTAAGCTCTTGCTTCCATACTTTTTTCCACCACTGTATAATTTTTTATTTAAAAAAAAATAAAATTATTTAATAATTTCTTTAAAAAATTTATTTTCTAAAACAAAAAAAAACTTTTTTTTCTAAAATGTTTGAATTAAATTTTTATCTGTAAAATCCAATTTAAAAATATTATTTTCTTTTTCTTCTTCTTTTTTCGTTTTTCTTTCATTTAAAGAATTGTTTAATAATAAATTATTTTTTTCATTTTCGTCATTTAAATTTGAAATTAGAGAGGAAGATGAAGGAGGAGGAGGAGAGGAAGTGGGCATTGTTGTTGATATTCTGGTTGGTGATTGTTTTGATATTATTGGTGATATAGCTGGAGAATAAGCTGGACGAACAATTAATTTGCCTTGCTTAGATGTAAAAAAACTTTTTTTTTCTAATTCAGTTTGGAAGAGAAAAATTCCCAAAAAATTTATTTTAGATTCTCAAAAAATTAAAAAAGAGCAAATAATTAAAAAATTAAGTTCTACTCCCAAAATAAATATTAAAAAAAATAATTTTTTCTAACCTCATCACAACTCAAACAAAAATCACTCAAAACAGTGCTACATCTATTTGCAATTCTAAAAATTAATTTTTAAAAAAAATATTAAAAATAAAAAATAAACATTCGTGGTGCAACAACCCGTTTATGAACACCAAAAACAATAAATAAAATTAATAAAAGTGAAGTGCTTATAGTAAAAAGTGGATGTAGAGCAAGTGATTCAAAAAATGAAATCTAAAAGATTAAAATTAAGATTTAAAAAAAAGAAGAAAAAATTTTTTACAGATTTTAATGAAGGGTCTAAAATCCAATAATATGCACTAAAAGTTGTGGAGACAAATAAAATCAGAAGAAAAGCTGAAAAAATATGTAATAATTAATATCCAAAAAAAGAAAATTTATTTAAATCAATCCAAAATTAATTTAAAAACAATTTAATTTTCCTAATTTAATTCTTAAAAAACCCCACAAAACTTCAAACCTTTCCATTTTCGAACTCTTGGTTGCATTCCAGCAATTACTTCAGTTAAACGATGTTCAAAGAAAAGCATGTCTAAAAATAAAAACATTTTAAATATTTAATTTAAATTTAAAACCTTCATATGCCAAAGTAGGATCTTCCATTATTTTTTCGATAACTGCAAAATAATTGATGAACATAAACAAGAAAGAAAAAAATTTAAAAAAAAATAAACTTTAATTTAAAAACAATTTAAAAAAAATAAAAATTTAGAGCCTTCCAAAAATTAGAGAAAAAGAAAGTTAGACACAAAAAAAGAAAAATCAGAATGCCAAAAAAATATTAATTTTAGCAATTATTTAAAACACTTTTAACAAACATTTTTACAATTCTGTTGAAAAGAAAAAAATGTTTCTAATTTTTAAACACAACACAACAGAATTTAAAATACAAATTAAAGTTGGAAATATTAATGATGGAAATAAGGAAACAGAAGAAGGAGAATCGAGTGAATCTTTACCTTCTACATTAGGTGAACTTCGAAAACAAATTTCACAAAAAACTCAATGTGACATAACAACAATGAAATTAATTAAAAAAGGTTTGCCTTTTTTCCTTTCTTTTTTGTAAATATTTTCTTAAGGTAAATTTATAATTGCCCCAATGGAAGAATCTTTAGAAAATTTGGGATTTAATGAAAATGATAAAATATTGGTTATTGGTGGGAGTTCAAAAATTGATGAGGGAAAAGAAATTTTAATAAAATATGAAAAAACTCATTTAATTAAACTTAATGGAATTTTTAAAGAAATTGATGAAGATTTGTCTGAAATGGAAAGAAATTTTCTTAAAGGTTTTTTTTCTCTGGTTTGTCGTTTTTAAAATTTTATTTTAAGGAGAAATGCTTAATGAAATGCTTCGCCGAATGGAAAAACGTTTAAAAGAATTTACTGAACATTCCCTTCAACATTTAGAAGCAATTGATGCTTTAAATATTTACACAGATAATTCTATTGAAGAACAAAATCAACGTAATCGTGAACGTCGAAAAACACTTGTAGACAACATTCAAGAATTGCTGAGAGCAAACGACAAAAATATTTTACGTTTTGAACAATACAAAAAATCGTTAGAATTTCCAGATTTGAAACCTTGAGAGATTAACTAAAAATATCCCTTTAAAACATAAATTATATATTGTTAATTATATACTTAAATTATAATTTTCCACAATTGTGAAACTTTTCCTTTTTGAATACCAAAATGATATTTAGTGTTAGTGATTAATAGCTTCTCTGTTTCCCCAAACTTTAATTGTTAATTTTAGCAAATTATTCATAGAAAGGATAAAATCAAAAAAAATTTTTTTATAAAGTTTTTAAACAGAGTTTTTAAAGTTTACATTAAAAATAAATATATTATTTACGTATCAAATAATTTTATTTAAATAAAATTTAACATATTTTCTAAATACCACCGGCTTTTCTGTCAGAGAAAAATGACCTCAAAATGAGAACCTTTTAAAAAATTAAAAAATTTTTCTTCAAAAATATATTAATTTAAACACCTGCCCAACACCAATAAGAACAATAACTGCTGTTTGACCAAGTGACCAATAAGTAACACGTTCACTCAAATCCTCTGCCCGTTTTCTTCCAGTTGCTTCACGTAAACGATGATGTGTCTGGTAATCGTCCACAATCCTAAAATTAATTGAAATAATTTATTCTTAATTTTCTTTATAAAAGTTTGAAAAAATAAATGAGAAATTACGAGGAATTAAATCAAAAACCTTAAACGATCTGCTATAGTTCCAACGCTTCTATCCATTTGTGTCATACTAGAGCCAACACGGGGTACAGGCATTCCCTTAAATTCGGGTTCACCAACTTGCCAATCCATATAGATAACCTTAAAAAATAATTTAAGATTTAATAAAAATAAAAAAAACCTTATGAGAAAAAGTAGAAAATTCATTAGAAAAGCACACTTTATAAGTCCCATCAGAATCTGTCTAAAAATTCCTTTTTAATAAAAATTTTAAAATTTATTTTTACTTTATAAGAATAACTATCAAGTTGCTTTCTCATTTCTTTATAAAGAACATTTCCATTCGGATCTTCCAAAACAACATCTACATCGTATTGTCCGCCTGTAACAACCTTAAAAACACAAAAATATAATTAATTAGTAAATTTTTAAATAACCTGAAATTCTAAAACATTATCAATTCCTTTTTTTAAATCCTCAAAAAAGCATTGATCAGCGTTATCTGGAAGCTCAAAAGTTAATTCTGAAGCATTTGAAAGTAATATAGTAAAGAGAAACAAAAAAAGAGTAAAGAAATACATTTGAATATTTAATAAGTGTTGAATTTTATGCATTTTTAATTCTAAAAAATATAAGTAGAAAGAAATTTAAATACATAATAATTGTAAAAAATTAACACGTTAAACTTAAAAACGTGTAGAAAAAAAATTTTTATATAAGAAATTTTAAAAACAGAACGCCAAACTTTTAATCTTATCGTAAATTTCAAAATTTCACTCATTTCGTACTATAAAAGGTTATAGTAAAAGTAATATGGAACAAGCCGCCGTTATACATTCTAAGGTTCCGTATTCAAGACCCGTCTTATTCAAGACTCCATTTTTTGAGAAGCGTCTTTGCTTTTCTGCTTTCGATGTCAGGTGAGAGATATTTTATCTCAAAATACAGTGTTAATTTGTTTTTTTTGCAGAGAGTTCTGCAAGGCGAAGACGTGCGAAAGCCGTGGCAACTGCTGAATGTATTGCTGCATATTCTCCAGCGACTAGAGGTTCTGGTTGTTTGGCAATTGCTGAAGATGTTGCAAACATTGTTACGCATGCAGTGAGTTTATTATAAAGAATTTTAAAGCTTCTTTATTTAAAGGTCTCGATTCCTGCTGTTGTCTTCGCTTTTCTAGAACTTCAATTGCGTACAAATACTGCAAGAGAATTTTTTGTTCTAGCTCTATATGGGGGAATGATGCTTTCATTGTTTGCTGTTTCGGCCGTTTATCACTTCATTTGTCTACTTGTTCGGATATATCCAACCGGGGAAGGTTACAAGTAAATAATTTGATCGAAAGTTTAAAAAATATTTCAAATTTTAAGGTATATGCGTGTCCTTCTTCGAATGGCTGATCGTTCAATGATTCATTTGTTTATTGCTTCTTGCTATACGCCTTGGCTTTTATTGCGTGATAATGGGCCTTTTGCTGAAGATATTTGCAAGGCGGTAAATTTTGTTTTTCCTTTTTTAAACGAAAAAAATATTCAGGTTTGGATCTTTGCAATTTTCAGCATTTTAGCCCAAAATTTGCCGTTCAAAATGACTGCCGACAATGAAATTCTAGCGATAACAATGTATTTAATCTTGGGAGTTTTGCCTGGAACTTTTATTGGCGCTTTTACTGTAAGAAAAAATATTGTTTTTAAAGGAGAATTCCCTCAATTTATTTTTAGACTGACACTGGTGGTCTACTTCCTCTTGCAGCTGGTGGTGCCCTATATATTGTTGGACTTATTTTCTACTTTGCGGAAGGTTATCTGCCGTTCTCACATGCGATTTGGCATTTGTTTGTTAATTCTGGTGCTTTTGTTCATTACAGGGCAATGACCCAATATCTAATACGTGAAAGTAGAGAAACTACAAGCTTCTATTACTAATTTAGAAAATAATTGTAGTTATGTATGTACATATTTTGTTTTAAAAACTTACCTATTTTCCCTAAATATTTTTGTCCAATATTTTATTTGTAATTTTTTCCTTGATATGTACAGTGGGGTGCAAAAGTAATGACTCAAGGGTCGCACAAAGTAATTTAGTACTATAACTTTTTAGGAAATGGTCCAAATGAAACTGATAATGGATGAAAATATTCCCCAAAGTGTCAGCTTCAAATATATAAAAAACTTGGCTAAAATTAATTTCAAATGTAAAAGTTAAAAATTTTCAAACGAGACCACCTCAATTTTAGCTGGTGCAAAAGTAATGACTCAAAATTTTATCGGATCATATCTCTGACTAGTTGTAAAAAAATTTTCCAAAAAAAATTCCATCAAACATATTTATATTGTGATACTAATAAACAAAAAAAATCAGGCTCATATCTCTACTCAAAGTCGAGATCCGGACACCTCGAAAAAGTCAAAAATCAACGTAAAACACGGTTAGGTCTCTTAGAAAAATATTTTCGACCCCTTGCACGTAAAATAAAAATTTCATTTTAGGCTCGTTCAAAAGCCTTTGAAATTTGCTACAAGATAGCCGAATCGAATTTTTCAGAAAAAAATTTCATACAGAGATACAGACCGCTAAACTCGCGAAGCAGCGAAATACACTTGATTTACCCCATAAAATGGTCTTTTTGGCTGCTTCGCGAGTTTAGCGGTCTGTATCTCTCTATGAATTTTTTTCTGAAAAATTCGATTCGGCTATCTTGTAGCAAATTTCAAAGGCTTTTGAACGAGCCTAAAATGAAATTTTTATTTTACGTGCAAGGGGTCGAAAATATTTTTCTAAGAGACCTAACCGTGTTTTACGTTGATTTTTGACTTTTTCGAGGTGTCCGGATCTCGACTTTGAGTAGAGATATGAGCCTGATTTTTTTTGTTTATTAGTATCACAATATACATATGTTTGATGGAATTTTTTTTGGAAAATTTTTTTACAACTAGTCAGAGATATGATCCGATAAAATTTTGAGTCATTACTTTTGCACCAGCTAAAATTGAGGTGGTCTCGTTTGAAAATTTTTAACTTTTACATTTGAAATTAATTTTAGCCAAGTTTTTTATATATTTGAAGCTGACACTTTGGGGAATATTTTCATCCATTATCAGTTTCATTTGGACCATTTCCTAAAAAGTTATAGTACTAAATTACTTTGTGCGACCCTTGAGTCATTACTTTTGCACCCCACTGTATATATAATTTAATTTTTATTAAAATTCTTTGTAAATAAATAATTTTGTTTTTTTTTAATATTTTACTTAACAATTTTTATTTGTTTTGAATATTTATGGTTTTATAAATTAAAAATTTATTTTTTCTATAATTTTAGATATTAAACAAATATTAATAATGGTTTTATTAGACAGAGGTGTTCTTGTTGTTTGTGGCTTTGTTTTTCTCAATATGGTTATTACTGTGAGTTTTTATTTTCTGATTAATTTTAAACTTTAATTGTTTTTCCAAGCTTTCTATTTGGTGTTATGTTTATGAAATGAAGAATATGGTTTATTCTCAATTTCCAATGTTAGATGTTGATGGTTTATCTACTACAGGGAATAATTTGCTCGATGGAATTGTATAATTTTAATTTTTTTTAATTTAAAATTTTTTTCTTTAAAAGTTGAATGGACTTTTTATTGCAACAATTATCGCTGTAATGAGTGTTATTTTGGGTCAGTGTATTTTACATCGATTAAAGTCTTGTGTTGTTTTATTTGTTAAATCTACATTTATGATGATGTCTTATATTATGCCTGCAACTATTATTTTGTAAGAAAAAATTTTTTGATTTTTATATATTAAAAAAAGGTTTTTTTCTCCCGCCAACAAAATTGAGCCATTGGGTATTCATAAAAATAAAAAAATCCATCACATTTCTCTCAACCAACTTTTAGCTCATTTACAATACAAGGACTAGAAAATTTTTAGTAAATAAAATTAAACAATCTTCAGCTATATTTTGTTACTTTTCAAAAGACAAAATATTTTTAATTTAAATAAATTTATATTTTTAAAGTGATACTTTACTGAAATTTCTTGGCCCTGAAAATCCTTATATTTATTTATTCACAATTATTGCTTCTCTTCTATTCACTTCTACAATTGTTGCCGTATGTTATTTTTAATTTTTAAATAAAATTTTTTTTAAATTTGTTTAGGCTTATTTTACCGATCATTTACCAACTTTTATTCGTCAAACTCTTACCATCTTGAATTGTTCCTGTGTTTCTATTTATTATTTGCGATTTCTTCCGCGTTATACAATTTGGTTCTTGATGGCTGCAATCATTCTTTGGGGTAAATATTTTAAAGAATTTTTAAAAATAATTATTTTAAAAAATTTGGACTCGAAATGGTCAATTTTATTTTTATGAGTTTATCTTGGAATGACGGATTCGGATCCGAAAAAAGTTCGGATATAAGAGACTAGTCTTCAAATTTAAAATATTAATTTTTAATTTAAAAAATATTTTTAAAGATTTATTTTCTGTAAATTCATCATTTGGACCATTAAAAGTAGCTGCATTAAATGCTCATGATTATAGTGAAAGAATTCTTCCGTTTATGTTTTTTATAGCAAAAAATAATAAAAATAAAGAAGAGGAGGAGGAAGAAAGTTCTGATGAAAATTCTGAAAATAATACTTTAAATAATTCTACTTCTGATACTTCTTCTGATGATAATACAACAATAAATGATGAAGAAGAAGAAGAAGAAAATTGTTCTGATGATTGTATGACTGAATTTACTTTAAATAGTACTTTTACTAATGATGAAATTGAAGATTCTATTGAAGAAGAAAATAATGTGGAGAGAACAGCCTTTGATGCTTTAAATGTTTCTGGTTAGTTTTAATTGAAAAGATATATTTTAATAATAATTGAAGGGAGGGATTGGGTGATGGAAATGTTTTTAATTTTGTGGATTTTTAGAAAAGTTTTTAATACCTCCCTCGACTATATAGATCTCACTATATCACGTCCTGCCCCAATTTTTCTATTAGTAAAAAATATTTTAAGGGCAAACAGTTATTGGTATGGGAGATTTTGTTATTTATGGTTTATTGGTTGGAAAGGCAGCAGCAGAAATGGATGGTTGTTTTAACTTTGCTGTTTTATTTACAATTATTGGCGTTTTATTTGGGTAAATAATTAAATTTAAAATCCGAAATTAATTTTTTTCTTTTCTTTTAAAGTTTATTTTATACTTTAACTTTATCTGAGGAATCTGACAACGATGATGAACCCGGTTATTTGCCAGCACTTCCAATTCCACTTTCTATTGGTGCTCTTATGTATTTTTTGACGTCTTTTGTTATTGGAAAATTTAATGGAGAAAATAATTATGAGGAATTTTAAATTGTTGGTGAGGAATAAATATTTGAAAAAAAGTTTTTATATAGGTAATTTTGTTATTGTAAATATTTGTGTAGATTAAATAATTAATAAAAAAATATATTCTTTTTTTTTGGTATTTTTAAAATAGGCAATTATTTTACAAAAAAAATTCTTTTTTGATTAAAAATATAATATTCCAAATAAATATTTAATTAATTTCCAATTCTTTTAAATATTTTTCAATATTTTCATGACTTAAAAGTAATTTAATAATTTTATTTTCATCTCTTCTTTGAAAAAGCATTTCCCCTTCAAAATCAACCATTTTATGTTTTCTTGCTCGAAGTAAAATTCCAACAACCTTTTTTAAATTTAATTTTTAAATTTAATTTTTCTCTTTCCCTCAAACCTTATCAGAAATATATTCATAAATATTAAATAAATAACCAAAAGTAATTATTTTATAATTAATTCCATTTTCTCCTTTTATTTTATTTCCATATTCCTCAATTATTTCACAAAGTTGTAACATTTCTTTGGCAATATGTTTTGCTTTAAAGAAAATTTTGGGGAAAAATTATAATTATTATTAAATTTTTACCAGCTTTTTTTGCTCTCATTTCTATTGAAAATATAAAATTTAAAATATTTTTTTTTTATTTTAAAAAATAATTCTTTCAAAATAATTTACCTGTTAATGAACCGGGAGGCTTAAAAAATATTTTTTATTTATTTTTTTTCTTTAAAATTCTACCGGTGTTCCATATTCTAAAGAATTTTTTGAATATTTTTTTGGAATATAATTTTTTGAATAAACATCATTTATTTGATCATTAATTGCTTTTTGCTCTTTTTCACGCATTTTTTGAACTGCTCGTTGTACATTTTGAGCTAAAAATTTAAATAAAAAATATTTCTAGCGTTTCTATATACCCGAAGAAAAATGTCTCGGTGCCAAATCAACTCTAGTAGAAGCCATAATACTTTTACTATAATCTATTGAATTTGTTTTTTCTAAATATTTATTAAATGTTCTCTTTCGACTTTGTTGATTTGAGGTATTTAATGATGAAGATAAAATTGTTGGCCCACTTCCTCTTGCTTAAAAAACGGAAGTTTATTTTAATTAAAAAAAGCTAAAAATAAATTTCATTCAAATAAATATTCTCTAGCCTGATTCAATTGTAAATGAAAGTGTTAATGTTGTTGGTCCTTTTATTCTTCTTTGTATCATTCTTTGTTTTTTTATTATTTTTTAGGTAGACTTGTGATACTTTTGTTTTTTTTAATTTTTAGGAAATTAAATAAAAGGTAAAAGAATTTTCAAAGAAAAAGATTAAATTTCATTTATTTTTTGAAATGAACTTTGGAAGAATTTTTAATTGTAAAAATATTTTTAAAAAGGTTAAAAGAATAAAAGATCTGTGGATTTTTTGAACTTTTAATAAATTTTAGTCTAGACATTTTTTAATTTTTTTTATTAAAAATACTGTTAAAGTTAAAAGTACGTCTTTCGAATTTTTTAAAATTCTCACAAAATGTTTATTAAAAATATAATATTTTTCTTAAAAAACTAAATAAAATAATTGATCAAAAAATTAAAAAAAATTCGCAATCTGAATGAACACTTTAAAATTGCAAACAAAAGTTTTTCTTATTGCCCCCTATACTAATTGAAAAACAAATGAAATACAAACAAAAAAATTAAGAGAGCAAATAAAATTATTTTTGTGACGTCAAAACTAAAAATTATTTGTAAGAGAAAAGTCACTTCCGGTTAAAATGCACGGAGATTGGAAAAGTTATTCTAAATATTTTTTTAAAATATCTAATCAAAACATATCCACACACCTGGATAATTTTGAAAAAGTCGAAATTTGATTTGAACCTCTAGAAAATTCTTATTAATTTTATAGGTAAAATAATTATTTATTTATTTGACAACAAAAATTTTTTTTGAAAAAAATATAAACTGAAAAATTACAAAAATTTAAATTAAAAATTTATTTCAAAATATTCTTCTTTAATAACCAGAAGGTTCACTTTCTGGTCCTTTTCTCCAATCACTATTAGCAAAAATAGTTCCATTGGACATTCTTTGTACAGCAGTCTTTTTATTTTTTAAAAATTAATTTTTAAATTAAAAGAAAATGCTTACAACAACAGTTATTTTCTTTTCACTTTTAAATGTATGTCCACGTTCTTTAAGTGCATTTATATAACGATTGGGCATAGTAAGTTCGAATTGAGTAAAGTTCGGTCGAAGTTGGTTATGAAAGCGAGGGAAATCTTTAAATTAGAAATTTTTTAGAAATAAAGGGGGGGGGGGGCTGACCCCCATCTAAAATGGGCTGATGTAAGGTCCACCTCTAAACAAATCCCTAATAGAATTTGTTTTATAGTATTTGAGAGGAAATATTGAAATTTTCATAAATTATTAAAATTTTGTTTACCAATTGCTTGTTTAATATTCCTGTCCAACCAAAGAGCATGAAATGCAGCACCGGCAACTCCAGAAATTATCTTTATATAAATTTAAAAAAATACTTTAAAAATAAAATATTCAAAAACCGTAGAACCTCCAGCAGCCCCAATAGAAATAACAGAATTATCCTTTTGAAAAATTAATTTTTTTATAATTACAAAGAAATTTCTTTTTTTCCTTACATTTTTATTAAAAATAATTAAAGGGCTAATTGAACTCATTGGCCTTTTTCCAGGTTTAATAAAATTTGAAGGTGAAGGCGGAATTCCAAAATAATTTGGATGCCCAGGAGAAGAAAAATCATCCATTTGGTCATTCCAAATAATTCCTGAACTTTCACTCATTACTTGGGCTCCAAGACTTTAAATAAATAATTAAATTAGTAATTATTTTAATCAAAAAGAAAAAGGGAAATATTTTCAAAAAATTGAAAGGAGGGATAATAGAGATCGAGCTGTGCCTAGAACAAGGCCAAAGTTTTTCCTGGATTACAGGCCCAGGCTTTTTAAAAATCTCGATCTCTAATGTGTAATTTACAACAAAAATAAACTTTAGAAACTTTTTAATTTTGTCCCCAAAATATTTTTAAAAAATCATTTACATTAAATTAATTGTAGAAGTAACACTAACAGCATTTCCATATTTATCAATAACACTAATATGTGTAGTTCCGTGGTCTTCTGGAAGTGCTTGAAAACTACCACCATAGAAAGAATCTGGATGTGTTCCCCAGCTTATTTTTGATCTTTAAAAAAATTTATTTTATTTTTGAATTTTTTGCTCCTACTAAAAAGTTCTAACAAATAAATTATATTTTAATTTCCATACCTAACTAATTGTGCCCATTCAGAACTCGTAATATTTTTAACAATTTCAGAAGCATTTTTAACAAAATTAATATCCCCTAAATCACTTCTAGCCGCATAAGCAAATTTAGAAGCTTCAATAAAACGATGTAAAAAATCAACATTTCCGTTAAAAGTACTCGTATTAAAATGAATTATAAAAAAAAAATAAAAATATTTTTTTATTTTTAAAAAATTATTTTACTGGTCTAAAATTGAAAGAATTGATTGAGTTACTGCTGAACCTGAAGGCGGGGGAGGTCCACAAATTATTTTTCCATTTGATAATTTTGTATAAACAATTTGTGAATCTGGACGCAAAATTGCACGATAATTAACAAAATCCTCAAAATTAATTATTCCACCTTTAAAAAAATTAAAATGTAAATTCAAATTATTTTTTGGGTTGAAGAAAATTTCTTTTTGGAAATTTAATAAATTATGTATAAAGGTCAGTGGAAACGTTCCAAATAAAAATAAAAAATTCGGTTAAAATATTCTGAATCCAAGTTATCCCACTTATTTTTTTAATAAAATTCTTTTAAAAAATAATTAAAAACCGTGTTTTTTAAATTCCTCCACCATAGCCTTTGTAAGATTACTTCTATAAAATACCTCAACTGGATCATTAGAATTTGCAAGTTTCTTTAATGTGTCAATTAAATTCTTTCTAAATAATTTTTTTTAAAATTAATTTAAACAAAAAAAAACCTCGTAGTTATTTGTTCACCTAATTTGTATAATTTCCCCGTTTTTGGATTAATAAAATGTTTGCTTAAAATTGTATCATTTCTAATTTGTTTTTCATGAGATTTTAAAGCATAAGCAAAAGCATAAGATGTTGGATAACCTAAAAATAGAAGAAATCTAAATTAAAAAATGAAAGAATTGTTAAAAAGATTGTTGTTTTGACTTTTTCTAAATTAAAAAAAATATAGGTTGGTTGACCGTTTTTTGAAGATATTAATAAAAAATAAAAAATTTTTTTACAAAATTACCTTCTTCCATGAGATCAATTGTTGGTTTTATTAAAGAATGCCAAGGAACATTTCCACCAAAATTTTTGTATTCAATCCAAAGACCGTAAAGTTCCCCTGGGACTGCAACAGCTTCCCAACCTAAAAAAATTATTTAAAAAGAAAACAAAAATTAATTTACCATATCTCGAAGCATTCCAACGTTCTTTAAACATATTTTCTGTAGCAGCTGAAGGAGCAACTTCTCTAGCATCTACTACACTGCATTTTTTAGTTGTACTGTAAAAATAAAAGGAATTTTGTGTTTTTAATTTTAAAATGCCCATCTCTCCATTTAAAATCTTTTTATTAATTTTAAAAAACAAAAAAATAGATTACGCATTAAAAACGGTCATAAAATGTCCTCCACCAAGTCCCGAGGATTGAGCATTTAATACTCCAAGACAAATAACAACAGAAATAGCCGCATCTACAGCATTACCTCCTTGCAACAAAATATCTCTTAAAATAAAATTTTTTTGAACAAAAATAAAAATATAAAAACCTTCCAATAGTTGAACAAAGTTCATTGTCAGCGGCAACAGAAGCAGAAGAATATTCCCCTAAAAGGCTGTTTGAAGGATCTGGCCATGCTGGCAAACGTGAAGAATTCTAAAAGAAAAATAAATTATTTGATGATTTTTGAGAGAAAATAAAAGTTGAGGGAAAAATAAACATCCAAACAGCAAAAAAATTAATGTAAATTGAGTAAAATCGAAGGAGAAAAGATAGAGACCCTTCTAACGAGATATTCCAATCGCAAAAATTAAAAAAATCAAAAACTTTTAAATTAAAAATTTACATCATTTATTACAGAGAAATAAAGCAAAGCAAATACAAAATTTGAGATTACAAGTATAACAAGGCAAATTACCCCAACAAGATTTGTAACACTAAAATTGGAAATTAATATTTAATTTAAAAATAAATTACCCAAATTTCCTAACTGATCTTCCAAATTTTGTAAAGTTACTTTCAACATCTTCCCCATTCACTTCTACATGGACATCATTTGGCAAAAGAGGAACTTGATCGCTAAAAAAATTAAAAATAATTAAATATTTCTCAATTTCCCTACATTTGGGAAAGTCTGAGATTTTTGGAACGTTTTTGGGTTAAATTTCTAAAAATAGAGAACATAAAAAAATAATAATTTGTTTTTGTTTGGGTTTAGTTACATATTCTCTCGAATGTTAATTTTTAAATAAAGAATCAATAAAAAAATTGCGCAGTATTTTCTTTTTTCTATTTTTAGATTTTGCAAAAAAATTTAAAAACAAAATATAACTAGTTATTTTTAATAATTAATTTTCTCTTCAATTTTTTCAAATTAATTATTCTCACTTTTGAATTATGGCACCCCAATTTCGCATTTATTTTATTTGAACAGGGGTACCAAAAATTTTTTAGATTTTTATTAAATTTAAACAAAATTAAACTCAAAATGGAGAAATAAAATTTAATAAATTGCAGTTATTCTTAAAAAAAATCAGAAAATTTCTCGGATTACCCTGCACAAAAATACCTATTTAAATTAATAAAAAAAAATTTTACTTCATTTTTTCTCTCTAACATAAGCCAACAAGTCTCAGTTCCCAATAAAATGCTGTTGAGGCAGTAAATGAATGGGTGCATTTAATGTTGTTTTTCTTATATTAAAAATAAAAGATAAGAAAAAAGTATATTGATAAAGAAAATTGTATTATCAGCAAAAGTTAGTCCAAACATATTTTTTATGTTAATAAAGAGTACATAATGCTAAAATAAATGTGTATATATTTAGAATAATTTTAGAAAATTTTTCTGAAATTTAATGGAAGGTAAAATTTTCAGAATTTTTATTTTAGAAAAGAACTTAAACAAGAAAAAATATTTAAAAAATTAAACATTCATAAGCCTAACACTCATTAAGGCTCTCAAAAATATAAAAAATGAATAAACAAATAAAATTGTTAAAAATTTATATTCTTTAAAAAACGTTTATAATTGACGTGAAATAATTAAAATAAAAAGAAAATTTTTTAAATTAAATATTTACTAACAATAAATATACATTTTCACCTATTTTTAAGCCTTTCCATCAGAATTATTTTGATTATATAATAATTTGTATTTTTCTTTAAATTTCTCGTTTATTCCTTCAATATTACGAGCACCCTCAATTGCTAGAAAAATTACCTAAAAATTAAAAAACTTAATATTCCAAATAATGAAAAAGGCTTTTTACTAGGAGGAGTTCTCCACAAAAATTATTACAAAATTTCTAACTTAAACGGCCTAAAATATAAAGTTAAAAATATAAAAGATTGAGAGGAATCTTTTAGGAAATAACAAAAAACCCGAAGGATCTAAATTTGTGTAAAGTTATTTAGAAAAGAAGGTAGGTTAGTCAGGGTGCTTAATTTTTTCAAATACAATGTACAAATGACCATCTTTGGTGGATACCAGGGATCCTGCCGACAAAAAATCAAAAGTTCCGATTTCCTGGAATCGAGACAGCAGGATCCCTGGTATATACAAATATTTAACTTTTAATTATTAAAATTTTTTTTTACTTTTTGTGTAATAATAGTATTAGCCTCATTATAAATTCCATCAGCTTTTATCCTCAACATTGTTCCAAAATTGTAATCATCCACAGTTTCTTTAAAATGTTCACAAAATTGTCTCCATTTTTCTTTATTTTCTCCTTTTAATTGAACCTCATTTATCTAAAAATAATTTACAAATTTTTTTTAAAATTAAAAACAAACCTCAAAAACGTCCATATCAGGAAATACTTCTCTAAAATATTTGTAGACATCATCTTGAAATTTATTTAATTTTAATTTTGTTGTATCTACTGACATTAAAATATTCATCTAAATTAGAGGAAAAAAGTAATAAATTTAAATTAAATATATACATGAACAGAAGAATATTCACTAGCTTTTATTGCCCAGGCAATTTCAATATTTGGGTCATTAATATAATTTTGTGCGTCATTAAATTGTGTTGTAGCAATATCCGACATTTATTAAATATTAATTTAAAATTTAAATGTAAAATTCTAAAAAAAAATGAAGTTAATAAGATAATTAAAAATTGACAATCAATTAATTAATAAACAAAAAAACGACGTTTTGTCCTGTGGCGAAAAATTTTTTGGCAAAATGAATTCTCGTCCGAAATTTTTTTTCAACTCACCAAAAATAGTGATTGGTCGCTCTCTCAAAATAAATACGTATGACTCGTTTCTTTAAAATTTTATAATTTTTACAACTCAGTTACTTAGAAAAATATTTAGACGTACATAAATGATTTTTGATGTTGCGCAATTTTATTTTAAAGTTTTCTTCATTAAATAATTGTTCATTTTTACATTTAACAAAAAAATCTTTTTTAATGTCTACAGCGGTTTCTACTGATTCTGTTGATCCGATTCAAGAACAATATTTGACAGAAAATTGTATACAGGTGGACCGTAATGATGAAATAATTGGTTAGTTTTTTAAGTTTAAAATTTCAAAGGTTTTTTTGTAAATTTAGGTCCAGTTTCAAAAAGAGAATGTCATATGAATCGTTAGTGATTATTGATTTACTTTTAAATTAAAAAATATTATTTTAGCGTTGTTACATAGAGCATTCAGTGTATTTATTTTTGACAAAGAACGTCGTATGCTTTTACAAAAACGTTCAGCTACTAAAATTACTTTTCCTTTGGTTTGGACAAATTCTTGTTGCAGGTTTTTCTTTTTTACAATTTTTAAAAAATATTTTTTAGTCACCCACTTTTTGGGATTGAACAAAACGGTGTTGATGGAGTTAAAGTTGCTGCGAAGAGAAAGTTGTTTCATGAACTTGGAATTGATACTGTAAATGTTGGCGATATGGAGGTTATGGGACGTTTTATATATTTGGCACGGTCTGATTCTATTTGGGTTGAACATGAATTGGATTACGCGATAATGTATGTATTATTTATTTATTAAGTCATTCTGATGAACAAGTTCAGATGGAAGTAGTTTAGGTGTACGGCATTTTTGGACTCCCTTTTAATGAAAAAAATATTCATAACTGTTTTAGAGTCACCAACTTTGATGCTACGTTCAAGCCTAACCCCGAAGAGGTTTCAGAAGTTCGTTTTGTTACTCCAGATGAACTTAACGAAATGTTTGTTGGAGGCAAGGAACTTTTCTCTCCTTGGTTTTCTCTTTTTTACAAATTTCATTGGCTCAAAACCTGGTGGGAGAAACTTGATGATTTGAAGTCTGTTCGTGAATCAGATGATGTTATTCACTCTTTAAATTGATTAGTATTGGGTTTTTGATTTAAAAAGTTTTTTGTCACTTACTTACAATTAGATTAATTAGAATTTTAAAATTAAATTATTCTTTTTAAAGGAAATGGTAAGAGAACAATTTTAATTTTCATGAATGATTTTTTAGAATAATTTTCTTTTTCCTGTTGACTTGCCTCTATTTTTAAGATTACCTAAAGTAACTTATATTTTAGAATAGTTTATATCATTTTTTAAAATTTGTTTTATCATATTGATACAAAATGTTAAATTAAATACTTAAAAGGATATTCTTTTATTTTACAAACGTTTGAACGAAATTTATCTGTTTCGATTATTCTAAATAATTTTTTGTTGTTTTTGTTTAGATGCATTCAATTTGGAGTAGAGGGAATACAATCTTTGCTTTTACGTTGACTGTGCTAAGTGCTGTTACTTTGGTATTTTTTTATTTTTCAATCAATTTTCAATTTATTTTTCAGATGGCCTTTTTAACGTCAATGTTTGCTGTTAAAAGTGTTAAAGTTGAGATAAGCGCTGCAAATCCGCGGATGTGGGTTTTTTCAAAAGTTTTTTTAAAAATTCTTTATAATTTAGACGGAGTATGTCAGATTACACAAATGAGGAAGGGAAGAGTGATCTTGCAATGGTTTCTTTAAATATACATGCAGATATGTCACCAATCTTTAATTGGAATGTGTAAGTTTTGACTAAAATTTAAAATTTTTTGTTTTTAAATTTTTCAGTAAACAATTGTTTATTTTTTTGGTCGCGGAATATTCAACAATGAAAAATGTATTAAATTTAATATTTTTTTGAATAATTTGTTTTAGGTAATTAATCAAGTTGTTTTGTGGGATAAAATTGTAAAACGCCCGGATTCGCAAGTGATTTTGGAAGAATCGGTTTTTTTTTTAATTTTTGATTATTTTTATTATTCTTCACAGATTCACCCAAAATATTATTTTCTGGATGATGGTTCAAATTTGCTTAGTCATCAAAATGTAACTCTTATTCTTAAATGGAATATAGTGCCAAATGCTGGACGTTTAGAAGATTCTCAGGGTGATGGTCAATTTATTCTTAAATTTCCGTCCAATTATGTTTCTGGTCGTTTTTGAGGATTTTAACAAAATTAAATTCCCAGCTATTCTTTTTCTATGTAAATTTTATGATTGTATCTTTTTGGGATATTTTAAATTATGATCTTCTCTTTTCTGCCTTTTAACTATCAACTTTTTTCGTGTATGTAAACAAAATCAAAAATATTTTGTTGTGTTACTCAAAATTTGTTTACATATCATTTAATCACTGAGTTTTAGTGGTTTTGCTTGGGGTTTTAGAGACCTTGAATTTTATTGGCTTTTCCAAGTGTCGGGATTAAAATCCATAAAATTTTTGTCATGCCTTTAATTAGCTTCATTTCTTGGTCAAAATATTTTCTCCTTGTATTTGAGGACATCAAAATTTTTTCTCTATTATCTTTGTGTTGTTAATTAAATCATAAAAGTTGTAATTTTATTTGATTTTTTCTTTAAATGTTTATTAATTTCAATAATTATTTTGATATGTTTTCGCTTAAATTTATGAGTAAATTTGGATGAAAATTGCCGTTACTGGATTTGGGCCTTTTGATGATTATTCAACAAATCCAAGTTCGGTAGTTGTAAATGGATTGAAGGATGATTTTAATGTTGAGGGCATCGAATTGATTACTAGAATAGTTGATGTGGACTATGTGGAGGCAAAGAAATGTTCTGAATGGGCTTGTTCTAAAGGCAGCGACGTAAGAATTTATTTTCAATGTTTAGTTTATTTGACAAGCCGATCTTGTATAAAGACAACGGCTCGGTTGTGTTTGCTCTATTATGCTAACACGCATTTGTTTTTACAACGATATTTAGAAATTTCTAATTTCAGTTTGTGGTTCATGTTGGAGTTCAACCAACACCTGGCAAACTGATGATAGAATCAAAATCCTTTAAGGATGGCTACATTTATCCAGATATTAATGGTTTTTTAATTGATTAATTTTTGATGTTTATATTTTGTTTTTTAGGTTCTGTCCCTCTTATGAATTGTTGTAAACCTGGAACTGAGGAAGATTCAGAGCTTGATACTTGTATTTGTTGTGATGATGTAAAACAATTTGTTATGGATTCACTTAGTTTGGAGGAGCTTCCAATTGAAATTGAAGTTTCAAATAATCCGGGAAGGTTTGTTTGAGAATAGCTAATTGTTAGATATTAGGATTTTTATTGTAACGGGAGACATTTTATTCGATAAGTATTTCTTAACCCAAAGTCCCTTATTTTTTAATTATTTACTAATTCTCCAATTTAATTTTTCTATTTTAGATATCTTTGTGCCTATATTTTTTATTGCTCATTATTTGCCACACGTGGTCGTTCACTTTTTGTTCACATTCCACCATTTGATGATGAATGTACAGCTGAACTGCTCATTCTTGTGTTAAAACAAATTTTAATTGCGATATACAAACTTTACTTGAATCAAAATGTGAATGTACAAAATATATAAAATTACTAAAAAACTTTGTATTTTTGTTTTTATGTTGAAGGAGTTTGCTCCGCATTCTCGATGATTATTTTTGTAGTTTTTTAAGAGAAATTAATTTTTTAAACTTTTTTTAGAATTATTTTTAAATAAATGGGAAGATGGGAAAAAGAAAGCACCAACATCACCACGAGGACGACGAAGCTCTGGGCGATAGTGAGGCTTCTGTTGCTGCTTCAAGTTCAACTAACAGGAATGACGATTTCTTCGTTTCCCCACCTTTAAAATGGAGCAAGCGAGAAATAAGTTCGATTGATGGAGACAATATGGGAATAAATGGAACATCAGAACATTTTCCTACAAAATTAAATGGACATATTCAAGAGAATGAAGTCAAAAAAGCGATTTGGCTTGTTAGGAAACCGAAGAATGTGAGGATGGTTTTTGATTGATAGTTAAAATAATATTTTTTATTTTAGATGCCAATTGAACAATTAAATGGATTAAGATTTTCGAGAAAGCCAAAATATAACACGCAGGAATTTTCAATAGAAAATGAGGGAAATGAAACGAGTACGAAATTTGAGTGTCGACTTGCACGTCCGACATGTGCAATGTTACATGCAACGTCTGAAGAAACTAGCAATCAAAAACCAAAAATGATTCCAGGTTATTTTTAAATTAGAAAATTTCTCCATTCATTTTTTGAACTGAAAAGGGGATTTTGATCTTGTTTAAATTTTGACAAAAAATTAAAAAACATTTTTAGGTAATTTCATCAGAGGTACAGCTTGGATTGGCGAGAACTTATCAATAGAAAGTTGTACCAGTTCTAGCGCTGCAACAACTTCTAGCGAAATGTCATTTCTAACGGGTATAGATGAATTTCAAGATCCAGAAATTAACAAAATTCAATTTCATTCCATTCGGCGTAAACCGCGATTAAATTTGAAAAAATTGAAAGAACGATTAAAACCACATGGAGTGCTACAAATTGATGAGGATGAAGAGGAACAAGACGAAGAAATACAAGAAGATATAAAACCAAATGTTGAAATGATGAGAAAAAAGCAAAAATTGAAATGAAGAGGAAAATTAGAATTAATAAAACCCATTACGGGCAAAATTTGCAAAAAATTACAAATATTTCTCATTTCTAAAGTGTCTTAAATTTTGTTGATTTCTTTAAATTTGTTGACAAAAATGCTCACTTTGTGATTATTTTTAAATAAAATTCCTAAATGTTTTTTTGACAGGGTTCCAGACATTTTTTTATTTTTATATAAATAAATGTTTAAAACAATTTTTTGAGAAACTAAACAACTCTCAATAAATACAAAAATACCTAAATAACATTTTTATCCTTTAAATTCATTTAGCTTGTGTCTGGATGGTAAATATCATCATCAGCAATACACTTAAAATTAATTTTAAATTTATAAAATAAAAAAAAATATTTACATAAAATTCAACAAACACCATTTGGTCCGATTGTGGAATAAGTAACTTTAAAAAAAAATTAATATAAATTTGGGAATTGAACTTTAGGGACCCCATCTTCATTTGTCCTTTTTCTTTGATCTACTTCTGGCAACTAAACCAACCAGAAAAGATTAATTTTAGGTTATAACAAGCAGAAACTAAATAATGATTTTAATGCATGCTATGTGCAATGGATATCCCTTCTGAGATTTAGTACCAAGGGATAGAACAAAGGAAAATATTAAAAGAAACAAGGAAAACAAAGCACCTGAACACAAAGCACTCCTCTTTGATCTATTCGAAGCGAAACTTTATTTGAAAGACGTACACTCTCTGCTAGACGTTTGATTTGAATAGATCTATATTGAAAACAAACTCTTTCTTCTTTGCAAGTTAAATGTTCTGTATGAGGGGCATTTGCTGGTAATTCAATCTTTAAAAATTATTTTTTAAAAATAAATTTATATATTTTTTACCTTAATTTTCCCCAATTCTCCAACGGTATAAAAAGCAATATAATTTTGTGTAAATATAAGCATAACAGTTTCTGCAGAATTATCCAAATCTCGAAGGATTTCTTTAACTGGAGTTGGGCTAAGTATTGCTTTACACATTACATAAGTATTTGTAAATTCAAAATCAAGCATCTTAAAAATAAAGGTTTTTTAGAAAAAAATTATTCTAAATTAATTTACACTTTGTAAATTTAATGTTCGAATTGCTGCTTGTACAACAATACCTTAAAAATATAAAATTATTTAAATTAAATTCAATCTCACTATACTAGAAACACCTCATAGTCAGGTTAAAAACTTGATTAGCTACCGGTGGGGGAGATGACTAACAATAAGCTATTTAAAATGAAAGGACGATTTTTTTAAATACTGACTGTATTTTAAAAGATAACCTTCATCTTCCTGACAAACCATTAAAGGGCTTCCTTCCCCGTCATACCACATTCTGAGAACAGAAGTATTTCCAGTAAACATATTTAAAGCTTCCTTAAAAATAAAAAGAATTTTTTATAAAAATAAGAAAAACCATAAAAACAGCTATAGGAACTCGCAAATTACAAACATTTACTCGAATATTATAATCAGAAAATTGTTCATATTTAAAATAAGCACTTGCTTGTTGATTATGTTGATCATCAATTACTACTCTAATACCTTCATTATTAACGATTAAAGTACAATACTAAAAATATTAAATATTTGAGGGGTTATTTTAAACTTTATGGGTTCCTTATGATTTTTGTTTTTTTCTTGAATACTATTTTTTGATCCACCAACCAAAGAGAAAATTGTAAAGAAAGAAAGTAACCCATAAAGTTCAGAAATCATTTAATTAAAAACCTCTCGAAATGCCAAAGCTTTAACAATTTGATAAATTTCCCTAGCATCATGCTTCACAACTTCAAACCAATGACCCTGTTCAGATGAATCAACCACTGAAAAACTAACAAAATCATCTTCTCCAGCTCCACGTTCAATTTCATCATGAATTGGTGACAAATTTGAAAATCTTTCGTCATTTTCTAGTAAAAATGGTTGTTGTTGAGACATTAAAACTGGAATTAAAATTAAGGAGGAAACTCTAATTTTCTGACAATATTTGATTTTGAGCTGACTAAAACTCAAGGCGGGTTAAAGGGAAAATCTGGTGGCATTGTGCTTGTAGTCAAAAAATAGTTAAACAATTATGAAAATTTTGATAATAAATAATACGCAAATATTGGCAGTATGCCATGTGTTAAGGGAAATTTTTTTTGGTTTTTTAGAATATTTCGTAGAGCTGGCAAAACATGTGTTTGGTGAATAGAAAAACTTTCATTAGCTGGCAAATAGAATTAAGTGCGGTAGGGGACCATTGTGTACCGCCGTTTGTGTACCGCCGTTTGTGTACGGCCGGTTGTGTACCGCCAGTTGTGTACTTGGCCGTTTGTGTACCTGGCCAGTTGTGTACCGCATTATATAGGAATATAATAAGGGAATATAGATTATATTCCCCAACTTAGAATCTTATTAGAAAATTCGAAATGCAAATTCGACCAAAATTGCCATGATTTAACAAATTTGGACAAAGTTACGATTCAAAAATAAACCAGTAAACCTATGGGCGTCGGCGAGACGCTTGTGCAAAAGCCCGCGCTTCGCGCGGGCTTTTGCGGCACGCGTCTCGCGGGAGTCAACGGTCGCTGGGTTCCGTATCAGTAACATAAACCTATTCCTTTTATCGATTTTTTGAGTTGAAATGCCGACCTATTCTTCGTAGCAACAGAAAAAGTTCTTTAAGTGAAGATACGGCTCAAAATTCCCTGATAAAGTAACCTTGGGTCTAATAAGATTCTGAATTGGGTGATATAGTCTATATTCCCTTACTATCTTACCAGCAATACTTCCGTTCTGGGATATATAAAGACAAAAATTCTTTAAAATGCGGGTACACAAACGTCCCCATTTGGGTAGGTACACAACCGGCCGTACACAACCGGCCAGGTACACAAACGGCAAGGTACACAACCGGCGGTACACAACTGGCCGTACACAAACGGCGGTACACAAACGGCCGTACTCAATGATCGCGTTCCGAATTAAGTGTGCGGCGGATCGATTTTCTGGCAGGCGTCTTGGTTTTTTGTGGGGGTTGTCGCGCGTGATGTTAAAATCAATGATCTTTAACTCGTGTTTTAACGAGTTCATTCATTCACATATAAATTAGTTAATTTTTCCATTTATGGTATTTATTTTCCATAATTTAATGAGAGTTGTTGATGAGAGTTGTTTAGAATTCTTTGTTACTCAAAAAAGCGATTTTAGATTTAATTTTTCATGCAAACTTCGACAAGGACAAGGATTTCGACGGCCCAGGCTATTTATTTTATGCCAGGCGGGTCTTCTACCGAATCAGAGGGTGGCAGATTGCATCCTCAAAAATTATCTAAAGTTGAACAACAAAAAACATTAAAAGCTAAAAAACAGCCAACTACTCCTACAGTTAATTCTACAACGCTTATTCATGTCACACCTCGGCGATCTACTCCAAAACAACGTATTCGAAGAGAACATTCAGCTTCAATAACAATACCACCACGAAGCGTACTTTCGGCGACTGATTTTTCTTTGCGATATACACCACCAGCTGTTATTACTGAAGGTATAAAATTTTGGCTAATGAGGGGTTTTTTGGAGGGGGTTTTGTTACTTTTCTTTACAAATAAGGGGGATTCAGCTGTTTATAATTAGAGATGCTCATTTAAGTTAATGAGCAGAAGTGAAGGACTTAAATTTTGGATTTTTTAGGGTTGTCATCGACCGTTTTTGCTGGTTCGAAATTTACTGATTCGCCTTCGGCCAAAAGTCTTCCTCTTCCTCCATCTCAATGGCTTTCACCATCTACTTTTAACGAAAATAAAATGGCTGCAAATAATGTTAAGGATGACAATTTAACAAAAACGCCAACTAAATTTTACGTTCCAACCACGGAACGAGATGGAAATGGAGGCAGTGGAGGTATTCGAATGCATCCACTTCATTTAATTGCTGCGACAACGATGAGCTCGTAGAAAATCTGGTAAAAGTTTTACGAAAACTGGAGAGTAATATTTGTGTTAATTTTGCTTTAAATGCAATATTGAACGTTTGGGAAATGTTTTTATCTTTTTTAACGCTAAACATTCAAATGGAGGGATTTTTAAATATTTTTTTGTTATTCACTAATTGTTATGGTTCCGTGGGTATCAGTATAAATGCTTTACGGTATTAAGATTAAATGTAAAACCAAAATTGAATGTTTAGCGTTTAAAAGCAAAACATTAAAGTTCACTAGAGGAGGGTGTCCGTTTAAACTCATTCTATTGTTTGGCAGTTATCTCTGAGGACTTAATTTTTGTCTAAAACTAGCCAGTTGTTTTATCTCACTCTCCAAACTGGTCTAACAAAATTATCATTATTTTAGCATTCCTTTGTTTAATTTTTGTAGTATTTTTTCTGATTTTTTCGAGAATTTTTTTGTTTAATTTTCATTAAATTTCTCTAAAAAATACTACGAAAATATATGCTTTTATCTGCCGATTACTTCTTTATATGCCCTCATTCTAACCTTAATATAAAAAAACTCGCAACAATCACTGCACTCTACTTGTAATTTCTTAAGATGATTTAAAAGTTTTCAAAAAAAATTCTTACGTCTTTTACTCTTTTCTTCGACTTTGAAAACTTTTCATTCTCATAAAAATTAATTTAAAAATTTCATTAATTTGTAAATATTTAAATCTCCTCTCTCTCTTATCACATTTTGGTTCCGCTCTTAAAAAATTTGTTTCTGAGCGTGTTCCTTTTCCCCCAATTATGTGCACATAAACAATAATTTGTGTATATTTTCCCAATGTTTTTCCTACTTTTTAAAATTTAAAGTTTGTGCATTTGCATTGTGAAAACACAATTTTTACCTCATTGAATAAAAGTTGCGATGTTTTTTAAATTTTTTAAATACAAAATTATTGATTTTAATTTGATATTTTAAATTGATTTTTATGAAATGGGTTATTTTGTTGATTAATTTTCTTTCCCTTTATGGGTTTCCTTTCTTTTTAATTTACAAATAGTGTAAACTTTGTTTTATTTCTGTTAACGTTTTTATGGTAGTAATTGTAAGGGGTTAAGATCACATGTAATTTTTAATCCGAGCCGAGGGAAAATGAAATTGGCGACAAAATTGTTGGGTACTAGTGTGAAGACAAAACAATTCTTTAACATTTCTTAATATTTTTTAGTATAATCTACAATAATACTTTGTTATGGCTGAAAGTGACAGTTCATCTACAAGTCTCTCTTCTCTCACACCATCTGAAGAGGAACATGTTGCAAAGGTTTTATAACTCTAACTTATTATTTTATTTATTTTTAAGGATATTAAGAGAAAAGAATCTGAAGACGTGCAAACTTCTGAAAAAGTTGACCAAGAGACGATTTCTCATGGTTCTGATTCGACAGCGGAAGATGAGCGCGTTTTTGAAGTTAATTTTGGGAATGGATGTTTTTCTTAATTTTTAAAATTAGGTTGAAAGCATTAATGGACATAAGAAGGTTCATGGAAAGGATTTCTGGCTAGTACGTTGGTCTGGTTATGGACCGGAGCATGATACTTGGGAGCCGAATGCTAATTTATTGAGTGAACATGTTAAGATTATGTGCAAGGAATATTTGGATAATAATAAAAGTGCTAGGAGAAGCCGTAACAGACGATCGTCTGGAAAGGTTCTAATTTTCAATTTTCTCTTAGTTTCTTTTATTTTTCAGGTGCCTCAGCGTCGTTCTATTATAAAAAAACCAAAGGCTGAAGAAGAAGAGCCTGTCAAATCAGAACAACCCAAAGTCGGAGAATCATCTGAAAAGTCTGAAAGTGGAGAAGAGGCCGATGGTACAAATTCTGAGGGATGGTTTGGAATTAAACCTGGGGAGGGATCGCGAGAACAACAACGTTTATTTGTTCCAGACAGACGTCTATCAAAGACAGAAAAGGTTTTAAATACTTTTTTATTTTCATCTTTTGTTCGAGCCTATAAATTTCTAATTGACAATTAAGATTCCTTTTTTTGTCTTATATATCGTTTATCCTCTTTTTTAGTTATTGAGCGAAATCAATTGTTCACCTGGCGTTCGTGTCCTCCGAAATCAGCTGAAACCCCATTCTGGAGATTTAAGTGATGGTGCTTCAGCATCAACCTCTCCAAAAAAACGTGGACGTGCTCCTAGAAGTTATTTTTGTCTCTATTTTTTAAATAATTTTTTATTAGAATCTGCAATTGAAAAATTACTCGCAACTTCTTCGGATGTTTTTACTTCAGAATCTTCTCCAGCATTTGATGTGGGACAAAAAACGGAAACTACAGACAATGAGGAGGACAAATTCAAAAAAGACGAAAAGATTGAAAAGGTATTTAAAAATTACTAGACTTTTTGGATATTTAGAAGAATTCTTGTTTTGGAGTTGGGTTGTAATTGCTCAAAATCCCTAAACGTGGCAAGGTCATATATAATCTAATTTTTCTTTAAGACTCGTCAAAAGAAGCCTTCAAAAGCTGTCAAAAAGTTTGATTCATTTAAGGAGCCTGACTCCATCAACAAACAAGATGTTAAAAAAGCTGTTTCTGATGTGAATGACTCTTCTATAGAACCTATCAAAAGTACAATAAAACAATCAGTCTCTGAATTGGATTTGGCGCCGAAGCCTGGGAGTTCCGGAATTCATACTCAACAAAAACAACCATCTCCACCAATTGTTAAACCTATATTAATTTCACATCCTAAATTGGAAAGGAAGACAGAATTTAAAGAAGGAAAGCAATATGGTGTTAGTGGAAATTTAAAACTTGTAAAGAGAGATGGAAAAAAGGTTGATGATTTTTACAGCAACTAATTTTTTATTTATATAGCTATCTGAAGCGTCGACCTCATCAAAAAAGAAAATCAAAAAAATTGCACCTGTTGCATCGTTAAATTCGAGTACTGATTTGCCTTTAAAATTATTACCTGATGGAGCAAATATTGCGTTAGAAGCTGAAAAAATGCTGAAAAAGAAGCTATTAAAAAAAGCTGATACACCTCCTGTAACTCAAGAGGTTTAAATTTAATTGCTAAACTAGCTATTTTTCTCTAATAATTATATTATCTTGAGGAATTTGATGAGCTTGTTCTTGATGGAAAAGTAGAAAAAGTTCGTGAATTGCTTCTATTAAATGGTCAAAAGCCTTTTTTGGATCTCAATCGTTGCGACGATTTGGGTAAAGCACTCGTACATAAGGTTTTGTTTAATATACGCACTTTGTGCACAAAATTAATTTTTTTAGCTTTGTGAAATTCGTTGTGGCGTTTCTCACACACAATGTGAACTTATTACTTTATTGGTTACGAATGGGGCGCGTTTAGATATGGCAGAACATAGTAATGGACAAATTCCTTTGCATGTTTGTCTTTTTACATTAATTAGCTTTTTATATTATTATCATTTATTTTTCAGATAGCAATAGCAAATCGTCGTATTTGTCATGTCAAAACTTTACTTTCTTTACGAACACCGCTTAATTCACCAGATCGAAGTGGTAAAACACCAGCAATGCAAGCATTAGAATGTAGTAGTGATTACGACTTTTTAAAGTTGTTATTATCTTTTGGTGCATCATTTACTCAATGTAAAATATTTTTTAATTTCTAATTTATGTCTTGTTTTTTAGTGTCAGATAAAGTCTATAAAGACAAAGAGAAATATAAAAAACAATTGAGAATTATTTCTGAACATGAGAGTCGAATTCGGCGTGCATTTAATTCTGCCAGAACAAACGTTACAATGTAAGGGGGTATTTCGATAAATTAATTGTTATTCTTTAAATTTTGAGGGAAATGACGTTAAGAAATGTTTCTCAAGTTTTTGTGAGTCCTTTACACGAAGGAGAAATGATACAGAACTTTACACTAAATACACAACCACAATTACCTGATACAAATCATGCTTATGTATTGTTTGTTGCTGTTGCAGAATTTCAGTGTGACGATACAGATGTAATTGTTTTTTTTAATTTAAAGGGATTTATGGAATTGATTAGTTATTCTTTTTGCGCTCGCGGTATTCCATCCTTCTTTAAACATAGCGTGAGAGGGCCATAAAGCCGTGTAATTATTGCTGGATTGGTTCAATTCTTCTGTATTATTAAACATTAAAATTCCAAAATTTTTAGAAAGAACTTTGTTGCACAGTCAATGCCCGAATGTGGGGTCGAAGTCCAGTTATCAGTGCTAGTATGAACGATAAGGAGTGCGTGCAACTCAAATCAGGGAATAACTTTGCTTTTTTGTGTGTTCCGTGTCGTGATAGAAATGTTATACGAATGAAGTTTGATCCGGCATTGGTTGACTTTTCAGATTTAATGGTTTTGGTTCAGATGGTTTTAGTTCAAATGCATAACCGTCCAGCGAATCATTCCCGACTAATTCACTGATAATATTTTTGTTTGATCCTTTAAACTTTTTTCATTATATATTATCTTACATATGGGATAGATATACTCTTTTGCTCATTTATTAATAAATTATTCTGACTATTTTTGTTTCTTGTTTTTATTTTGGTATTCTCCATATATGTAGTACATATAAGCAGTCTGTGTGTTATATGTTCGCTGGCTTGCATTTGTTGATTTTAAGGGTCATGCGAGTGCTTCTTTTGAAAAAAAATTTTTGAAACGATTCCTTGTATTGATTTTTAAATCATACTGTATTTTCTGCTTAAAAACGTCATAGATATTTTAAGTTTTAAGAATAGAATTTTTAAATTTTTTTTCTTTGGTTAGTATTCTCTGTTTTTTCAGAAAAATTAGTTAAATGTCAGAAATTGAGAAAATGGATTCAAATGATGTTCAACCTGAGAATCAACAAGACGCGAATAAAACATCTGATTTTTCAGCAAAAATTGAGCCTGTTTTGCAAGATGAAGCTTCTGTCGCAACTACAAATGGTGGGACCAATGGAGATGAACAGGTGAAAGATGAACATTCTAACGATGTTAATAAAGTGGAAGAGGGTGTTAGTAAAGCAGAAGAACCAAAAGAAGAAAAAATGGAGGAAGCAAAGGGAGAACAAATTGATTCACAGTTGGTTTGTTATTATATTTTAATTTGATATGTTATTTTTCTATTTAAGCCAGAAAAGAGCTATGAGGATAATGAGGCTTACAAAATGTTTATGTCAAAGAATTTGCACAAACCTGTGGCTGATAGTCTTATGAAAATGTTTGAAGAAATTGGGACTACAACTGCCGAGTTTGATGATAGGGCTGTAGAGATGTTGGCAACTTTTCCATCTGAACAAGGAAAATATATTATTAAAGAGCTTCACGTTAGTATTTTTATATTTCATGTTTTAACTTATTTCTCTTTAAGAATTCTCATCTTTTTGGTGTGCAAAACACTCCACAATATTTAATGTTCGTTATTCATCTCCGTTATTAAAGTTTTTTTCATTTCTTTAGGTCAGTTATGCGTAACTTTCGTGATCGTCTTCGTTCGATGGGAGCACAATCAGCAATGGAATTACCATTAATCCCTGGCCCTGATCCAATAAAAATGAAAGCCTTAATTGGTTAGATTTATTTTCGTACACTAATTTTTTAACCTTTTAGAGCGTACTCAATATCAACTTGAAGTTACTGTTGGTCAACGTAAATATCATTCTCCTCCTGGGTATGAAGGCCCTGATCCAAATCAATCTGGTGAAGGCGGCTGTGTAATCATTTCAATTTAGTTTTTTGTATTAATTTTCTTTTTAGGTTTACATTGGCCAGATCCCTAAAGAGATTTATGAAGACACTTTGGTTCCTTTATTTGAGCAGGCCGGACAACTCTACGACTTGCGTAAGTTTTCGCTTTCTTATATGTATCAGATCTTTTTAGTTTTGACATTTTTACAATTTAAGGAATTATGATGGATCCGGTCTTGGGTAAGAGTCGGGGATATGGCTTTCTCATCTTTTGTAAGAAGGCAGATGCCATTGAAGCAGCTAAAAAGGTCAGTTTTGCATTTTTGTAGGTTTTTCTCTGGCATGGTTTTTGTTATTATTTCTTTGATTTTTAAAATTTATGTTTTATTGTCAGTTTAGTTTAAACCATGCCATTTTTTATTTTATAGATTTTTTGAAGGTTTTTAATGGTATTTATTTTTTAAAACATTTTAACTTCACAACCTCAACAATATCAGTCTTTAAAATAATTATAATGCTTTTTCATTGTTCTGATTTTAATACCTTTATTTATATTTCTCTGATATCCTTTTCCAATTCGAGTAAACGACGTGCATACTCGATTCACCAAACATCTTTTTCACTAAATATATCTTTTTCGCATATAACAATCATAATTTTTGTTGCAATTAATTTTAGAGCTAATATACTTTTCGTGTTCAAAAGCGGTAAAAATTAACCGCTCTTTTTCAAATTTTATGAAATTTGCAGAAAAATTTACACTAAAAAAGAACGAATTTTAGTTTGACGGACATGAAATTCTGCCTGGAAAACCACTTAAAGTGAATGTATCCGTCGCGAACACTCGACTTTTTCTCGGAAATATCCCAAAATCAAAATCAAAAGACGAAATTCTTGAGGAATTGAAAAAGCACGCAGGTAAATTTTCGGCGCCTGGGTCCCCTAAAAATTGAAAAAAAGAGGAAGTAGACGCCAAATTTAATTAAATTGTTTAATTTTATTTTTTAAATTTTTAGATAATATAGATGATGTGATTATTTATACTAATCCTGATTCGCAAGATGGGCGCAAAAATCGGGGATTTTGTTTTATTGACTTTAATGACCATAAAACTGCTTCGGATGTTAAGTTTGTAATTTTCTAGGTTTTACAAATTTTTTGGTCTTTTTGGCTATCTTATTTTTTTAACTTTTAATTTTCTAGGAGAAGAATCACTATGGGAAAAATTCGCCCTTGGAATACTGATTTGGTTGTTGATTGGGCAGAACAACAGGATGAACCGGATGATGAAATAATGCAGCAAGTAAAAGTACTTTATGTACGCAACTTGAAGGAGTGTGTTACCGAAGAACAACTTACCTCATTGTTTGCTACTCATGGTAAAATTGACAAAGTCAAGCGGATTAAGGATTATGCTTTCATTCATTTTGAGGAGAGAGAGTCAGCGATAAAGGTTTTTATTTAATAATTCCTTTAAGAATTAGTTCTATCGATAATTGTTCATTCATTTATCTAGTCATTATTTTAAAATGATTTATTATGTATCTAATTCTAAGTGCCCAGAAATTTTAAATTTAAATAAATTAAAATCCCATAATGATATAATAAATTTAAAAATTCTACCTATAAACTGAAAGTTTTACAAAATTATATTTTTAGGCGCTTGCAGCTTTGAACAAATCTGAACTCGAAGGCGTTGAGATTGAAGTTTCATTAGCAAAACCTCAGAATGATCCGAGCGTGAAAGGAAAAGGGAAGAGTGTGAGGCGTTTTCCGCTACCAACTTATGGAGCAGAATATGGTTTTTGTAGATTCAGAACTCAATTATCAACTTTCGTTTTTAGCTACCCCTGGACTCGGCCCTCGTAACCGAAGAGATCGTGTGGGACGCAGTGGAAGAGACCAAAGAGGAGGAGGGGGTTATCAACAAGTCTACCCAGGTGGTGGATATCTCCCTCCCGTTGGTGGATATGGTGCTTCTTACGATCCTTATTATCCTGGATATAGCACTGCTTATGGCGCTGGTTACGATATGTACGGAGCTGGAGCATACCCTCACGTAGACCCCTACTACGGACAACCATTGGCAGCATATGGTGCACCAGGACCTTCCATGCGCGGTGCAGCAGGAGTGAGTTTTAATATTTTTAAATATGAACGTCTAAACTTTTAAAATTTGAGGCTAGCAGTTACGGATATGGTGGTGGTGGCACAGTTACACGTGGTCGTGGAGGCAAACCAAGTGGACATGGCGCAGCACGTTCAGGATCAGGAAAACGAGGTAATAGAGGCGGTTCTAAGCGTGCGGGTGTTGATTATGCTGGACCGGCCTCTAAGCGTGGCGGTCGTACAGAAGATTTCTCTGCAGATGTCCCAATGAATTTGTTCTGATTGGTCAAGAAGTGGATACATGAATAAAACAATCAATTTGCTATGCACCCTTCATCGCCACATTCAGTCTTCATAAAAATGGCAATTTTTAGAAAATGTCTCATTTATTTGCTCTCTTGTTGTTTTGATAAATTAAAATTTGCATATTTTTTTCTCTTGAATAAATGCGTCATTTTGACTATTTTTCTATTTTATTAATTTTATTTTGGATAAAAATGAATATCTTAGATTTTATATGTTGGTCGTTTGTTTAATTGGCGTGCCCTTGTTAGGTTCGCATATTTGTATTTAATTAAATGCCTTCAAAAGTATGAAAGTATCTTGAAAAAAGAGAACATTAAGTTAATGAACCTGGGCTAAGTTTATAATTATTAGTGCGCGGCAAAATTATTTTTCCGGAAGCCGGATTTTGGATTTCACACATACGGGATCCGGCGCACTTATCTAAATGTAACTTTTTGCAGGATGATTTATCAAATCAATCTAGTTAGCGAGGATAATCCACACATCCAGGGCTTTCGAATGATAACGAAGTTCTGGCCCAAAATATGACTCCGGGACTCAACCGACGAGACTCATGCTTCCCTTCCCAAAATTTGATGATATTCTTGTAGAATTTTGTTAATTTAATAATTTCATTTAAGGATAAATTTCAAGAAATTTAAAAATGGTTTTTAATTATGAAGGGAAGAATCCTGATATGCCAAAGACAAATACTTTGTAAGTTTTGGAAAACGGTTTATTTTCTGAATAGTTATGGTTATTCAATTTATTTTTTTTAGAAATCCAACAATAACCGGGGCAATAGCTATGGCTGTTTCTTTTGATGATGGTGTTGTTTTAGCTTCTGATCGAAGTGCTTTCTCTTCATCTATGCAACGTTTTCATAATGTTTCACGTCATTATCGTGTAAATGACCGTTGTGTTGTTGTCTTTTCTGGAGATTTTGCTGACTTTCAATGGGTAAAGAATTTAATTGAATGCAAACAGATGGAATTACAACAAGGAAATATTAAATTTTTAATGTCGCCAAAAATGGTCCATTCATTTTTAACAACTCTTTTTTATAATCGGCGTTCTAAAATGAATCCGCTTTGGAATACAGTTATTGTTTCTGGTATTTTTTAGTGTTTTTATCTTTTTTGGTTTAATAAAATTTCATTTTAGGGATGGAGGCAGTACCTTTCGAAGCAGGAAAATTTGAGACGTTTATTGGCGTTGTTAACCTTGTATTTCTTTTTTTAGTTTTTTAAATAAAGAAAATTAATTTTTAAGTATGGAATTGCTTTTGTGGGTAAATTTGCGGCAACAGAGATGGGAATGTTTTTGCTTCGTCAAATGCTTGAATCTCGTCGAAAAGAAGTACTTTCAAGAGAAGAGGCTATTGCTTTGTTGAAAGAAGCTATGGAGGTTTGTATAAAAATTTTTTGGGAAAATTGGATATTTTCTTAACTGAAGGGGGTTTTACGTTTAGATTTAATTGTTCAATTTTTAATGGGAATGAAATTTAATTTTAAAGGTATCTCTGTATCGCAACGCCAAAACTGGAAACAGCTTTGATTTGACTATAATTGATAAAGACGGGGTGAAAAGCACAGAAATTACTGGATTTATTGGTGATTGGGGAATTGCAGAAAAATATAAGAATATTTCCCATGTATTTTGAATATTAATTGTAATTGGAATTTTTTGTTGAAAAATTATGTATTGAAAATTGGAATTTCATTTCTGAATTTAATAAATTTAAGATTTATAAAAATCAACTAAAAATTAATCTAATCATAATATGAAAAGTAAAGCAGATAAGTAAGGTCAATCTTGATCTTCATCTGGGGGCTGAAGCCCCCCTCCCCCGGAATGGGAGAAAGAGGAGAAAAATTAGGAGAAGAATTAATGTTTCAAAAAATTTTGCGTCCGGAACGCCAAGGTAAACGCCAAAAATTTTGCGCACACCCAGTGTTAGCTGTTTGCATTTACGCGTTTTTACTCTTGGCGTTTTGTCATTTTGTGATGAAATTTTATTCAACCTCGAGTTAGGTGTGATTTTATTTTTAGATTTATCTTTTAATTGTAAACATTACTTATTTTTTACATAGTTACTATATTTAATATTTTAATATACAATGGCATCATTAGCCTCCCAATCACGTCATGGAACTGAGAAAGGAATTGTTTTGCGAATTGAAGGAGATTGTTTTATTTTTGTTTGGTCACCATCTCATCCAATGAATGAGTTAAAGTTTATTGACCAAGATCAACAACATAGTGTAAATAATTTTGTATTTATAAATTAGATATTTTTATTTATTCCAGCCTGGAGATTTTATAAGTTTTAAACTCACTGCACCGTTGGATCATCTTCAAACTTGCGATTCTATTGCTAAAATACGTCCTCCTCGAACTGTTACAGTTATTGATCGTGATCCAGCACCGATTAATGTAAGTTTAAAATTAAACTAATTATACTCGTTTCTCTTTTCTAAAATTGTTTAAAGTTCCATATTTGTTGCTAAAGTTGGGATTAACTTGTACAGTCTCCTAAATTTCTTTTTTAAATTACTTCAAGTGTTTTTTATTTTCAGATTTTAGTTCAAGTTGGCTTTCCTCCTCGTGATTCTAACTATTTTGATAAGGATTTAATTGATACTTTGGATTATGGTGTTATTTTTTATTGTTACTGTCCTGAATTTGGAAAATTGGCGTCGTTTGATTTACTTGATTCTGAACCTGGGCATTTCTATAATGCTTGCATTGAACGGTTTTTCTCTTTAATTTTCTAAATAAAATTTCTTTTTAGTATTCCGTTACAAAATGATTGGATAATTAAAAAGCTGGGAACAATGTTTATTTTGGTTAATCAGCCACTTACTATTATTGAAAATGAAACGGAGATTGCTCGTCTTAATTCTCTTATGCCTTGGAATCGTTTACCGTCATCAACATCTTCTCACTGTCAAACAACACAACAAACTCATATTTACCAACCAAAAAAAGAAGAAACATCTTATGGGGCGACAGTGCGTGCTTTGCTCGATAATGTTCAGTTAAATGAGGGAAACATTTCAAAAACTAAGGAAAACGGTCATCAAATGGAGAATGAGGTATTTTTAAAATAATTTTAATTTCTAGGAAGATTTTTTTAATTTTATTTTTCCTTTATTATATTTGTGGAGTTTTTTCTGTTTTGGATACAACTCCTGGAGAGTTTCTTTTTTAAATAAAATTTCAGTATACACCAAAGCGCTGGCCTCCTCCTACAAATTCTGAACTTTCTTCTACTTTAAATACGAAATTCCCACGAAAGAATGATTTTGGTGATTTGGAATATTCCAATAATTCTTGTGGAGGAACATCTACAAAAACGACAACAGCAACAAATAATAATTTATTTTCTGAAAAGATTAATAACGTTTATTATGGAAACAATGAGGAAATTAAACAAAAGAGAGAATTTCCAAATCAAAATATTTCTCTTATGCTTCCAACAATTTTAGAACAGAAATCTATTAATTTTCAAGTTCTCTTAAAATTTTTAAAAATTAAAAAAGAATTTTTTAGAACAATTCTGACGTTTCTTCACCTTCTGCTGTTAATTCTCCAATTTCTGTTTTGAGTAATAACAACAATAATGGTAGTCAATTTGGGGTTAATAATAAACTTGGTTTGTTTTTATTTTAGTAAAAAAATATTTTTGTTTGGAGCAGGGAAAATATTCTCATTTATTTGAGACAAAAATTAATTTTAAATTTAAATAACTATTTTAAGTTTCCGAAATTATTGGAACAATTACAATGCTTAATGCAAGAAATATGCAAATGCAGGCGCTTGAATTTGAGAAAAATATTTTTGAAATGTGTTGCAAATTACAAAAGGAAATGTTGGAGAAATTTTGAGTAAAAAAAGAAATTTATTTTAAAAATAAATTGAAAAAAAATTCGCAAATATTTAATTTTATTTTTTTTTGAATTTTTATTTTTCTCGCAAAATTTTATTTAAACAATTTAAAAAGAGAATTAATATTTTTGAGTATTTTTTGTTTCTCTTTTTAAATTGTTTTGTTAAATTGCCAATTATTGTTCCCGAATAAATTGATTTTACGAAAAAAAATTTTTTTTTGAATTTTTTTTGATTTGATCAATTCACATTTTAAAACCTTAAAAACTAAAAAATCACATTAAAAATAAAAAATGAAATTTCGGTATTAGAGTAAATATTTTAGAATAATTATTTAATTTAAAAATCTGTGGAGAAGGATAAAAATTACAATTTTAATTTTTAAGCTTTTGACTTGTGAATTTTAGTTGTTTAGAAACATGAATATTTTTAAATTTATATATTAAATACCTATATAATTAATCTTTTTTAATAAAATTTTTGTTCTCCAATTTTCCCCCACTACTTGCGCGAACCTTCACAAAGTATATCGACCTTCAAAAAATGCAAAAAAGCCTTTCTCTTTTTAATAATTTACCTTAAAAACCATTCCATATAACCGCAACTGTCCATTCTAATTTATTCAATAAATTATCTATCTTTAAATCTAATCTATAAAAAACTCCCCCCACAAATATGTAAATACTCTAAAAATATATTTCTTTTAATTATTTGTCCTTCAATCATCATTCTTTTCACTTTTTTTTAATGAGATCAATGACCCTTGTTAAAGTATAACTTTCCATTAACGAGAAATTAACAAAATTATTTTGTTTTAATTCCCGAAAGGATTTGGGCACAATCTACATAGAATGAGGTGAGCATTCATATTTTTCATTACTTCCTTGCAGTAACTAGAAATTGTCAATTATTCCTTAGTATTAATGATAATTAATTGGGTTAAGTACTCAACCAAACACGGTGGCCAATAGGTCCCGAGTCTAGGAAGTTCCGAGTCTAGGAATATCGAATTCGCTTTGTAGGATAATCAACAAACGAAAATGAAACTAATTTCCCTTCCTCACTTTTTGCACAAATTCTCAAATTATTTTAATTAAAATATTTATTAGAATTAAATAAATATACATATCTGTTTTTTATTTTCAATTTTTATTAATTTATTACTCACCTTTCTATTATTTTGTTCTAAAAATATAAATTAGTATTTAGTAAACACATTTTCATTGTCACAACTGTTCAAATTAAATATTTACTAATAAATACATTTATTGTTTGTCAAATTACTTTTTTTAAAGGATCAACAACACATTTAAGTAATCCTTTTTTTAATTATTTCTTTTTTTTTAAACTTTGTTGAGGTTTTAATTATTAATTTTTCCATTAAATAGTATCTATATCTGTAGGAATTAGGCCAATTTACAGCGAGAAATTTACAATTTACAACTTTAATTAAAGCAGTCTTTTCACTTCCATTTAAATTTAAAATTATTTCTTTTTTCTTTTAATTAAAACATTTCTTAAAACTTCTTTCATTTACTTTTTTCAACTTCTTTGCAGACATGATTCATAAAATTAAAAAAATGTGTGTAAGCAAGTTGCTTTTAAAATAATTTTAGCTATCTAATACATATTTAAAATGTGTAAATATCATCAAAAAACATTTGTTTTAAATTAAATATAAATATAAACACTTTTTTAAAAAATTCCACATACCGTATTTCCTATATTAGAGCCCCATGGGGCTCTATTTTTCAACTATCCTCCAAGGTGGGGCTGTATTAAAGGGTGGGGCTCTAATTGAGGGTGGGGCTCTATTTTTCAACCCTCTTTTGAGATAGAATCCCATTTATTATATCCATTGCAACTAGAGATAGGCCGGAGGGGTTGGTTGATAAAACCAAAAAATATCGAAAGACAATCGATATTTTTCAATTTTTCAAAAAAATTAAAATTTTATAAGCAATGAGTAACGAAATAATCGCAATAGTTCAATGAGGGTAAGATTAATTATAAAATATTTGTAGATTTTGACGGATTAAAGGGAATATTAGGGGACTTGTATTTGACATTGATGGATCATATATAGGTATACAAGCGATTTTAAGGGATTATGGGGAATATCAGAGGATTAATTTTATATTGAGAGATTTAGCGGGGTTAAGAGTGATATTTTGAATGAGGTATTAGTAGGCATATGAAGGGATTTTTTTGTGAAGAGGGATATCGGTGATATAAGGGATATCTATCGGGGATAAAAGGAATACCCACTATATCTCTTCCTTTTCCCCTTAGTTAATCCCTCATATTTCCCTTAATCCTTATATCCCCATGGCCCTTTATTTCCTTAACTCTTAATAATCTTAAAAATTATTGGGATATTTTTTATTTTTCCTCCAATATTTTTAGGTGGGGCTGTATTAGGGGTGGGGCTCTAATTGAGGGTGGGGCTCTATTTTTCAACTACCCTCCAAAGTGGGGCTGTATTAAAGGGTGGGGCTCTAACAGAGGGTGGGGCTCTAATATAGGAAATACGGTATATTTGTTTATGTTGTCTTTAAAACATTTTATATTTAAAATAAACAAAATTTGAATAATAACAAAAATATTTTTTTAATAATTTTAAATATACCGTATTTACTCGATTAATTCCCCCGAGGAATTATTTTTTCAACCCATCCGTGGCATGGGGAATTATTAGGGGGTGGGGAATTATTCGAGTTTTGAAATTTGAACGTGTATTAGGGTATTTGGGGGTGGGGAATTATTTTTTTAATTCACCCCTGGCATGGGTAATTAATAGGGGGTGGGGAATTAATCGAGTAAATACGGTATGTAGAATGTAGAAATCGGAAGGTATTTTATCGGTATTACGCTTAGGAATACGGACGATACGGAATTCCGATCTCTATTTATTTGTATACAGCGTATTTGCTAAAATAATTACCCAGGGTAATTATTTGGGCTTTTTTTAAAAAAAGGCTAATTATAACTATTTTTAAGAGAGGTAATTTTTCATTACTCTGGCTGTAGGGAGTAATTAATAGAGCGGGGGTAATTATTTGAGAGAGGGACATTATTTCAGCATTTACGGCATGTATTTACGGTCTTCTATTTTTAATTTTACAAAATTAAAGAATATTCTTTTCTCTTTTCTAAAAACCTAAACTTTCTTTTATTTCCTTTATTTAAATAAACTTCTTTTAAAAAATGTAGACTAATTTCGCCTATTGTTATTCATGTTTATTTAAAGCTTTCTCTTATTTTTTCCTTTAATCTTTTAAATTTTCTTCTCTTTTATATTTAAATAATTATAAAATTTATTTAAAATATTTCGACATTTTCAAATTAAAATATTCCCCCCCCCCTCTCTCATTTAATTAGAATTTTTTAAAAGTTTTTTCTTATTTAAATTGACTTTTTTCTTTAAAAAAACTTTTCTTCTTTCCATTTTTGACCCTTGACTTTTTCAATTCCATTCATCATTTATTTATTTATTTATTGAACATTCGTTTCTTTCTTTATTTTTATATGTTCATTTTAAATAAAGATGAAGCATCTACACTAAAGTAGCTTTTGCTCTCTTTTACATAATAATAATATTTCCTTTTTTTCCTTTTTTAAATCCTTGTTTTTATTGCAAAAGAGCAAAAATCATAAATTTATTAAAATTATTTAGTCAAAAAAATTTTTTTTAAATTTATTTTTACAAACTTGTACTGCACTTTAACAACTTTACCTAATTAATTTTATTTATTTTTTAAAATTTTTCCCTTCTAACATTTTTTTTAATTGCGCAACAAATTATTTTTAAAATTAAAAAATTTTTAAAAAATATCCTCCTCCCTCCAGTCCATTTCCTCCTTTCCTTTCCCTTCCCCTCCCTCCAATCAATCCATCAAACAAAATATTTATTCAATCTCTTCGATTAAATCCACAAATCGCCTTTTCTTCCTTCTCCACAATTAAAATATCCCTCCCCCCCCCCCCCAAAATCTTCTTTTATTTAACGCTGACCCAAAAATATTTTTTTCCTTTGATTGCGTGCTTTTTTGTCATTAATTTTCTCGGCGATAATTGAGTAGGTATATTAATTTAGGTAAATAAATCTTTTTTTTTGTTTTCAAAATTTTGAGATTTTTTCTGTCCTTTTTTTAAACTTAACTTTTAAATTTTGAATATTTATATTATTAAGCAAGTCCAAACAACCATAATTCAATTAAATTAAAATATATCCTTTTAATTTTTTTTTAGTTTTCGTGTTTTTCTTAGCTTTTTTTTATTATTTTTTGATTAGATTTATTTATTTTTTGATTAGAAAAAGTTTTTCTAATCAAAAAATAAATTTATGTTTGACTGATTTTAGTAAATTATATACTTTTAATTTACTTTAATTTATTCTCCCTTTAACTCTTCTCAATTACATCGATCTAATTTATATCTACTTTTCTGTCCCGAATCATTTAAATTGATTTAGAGAGAAAGAAGAGATTTAAAGGAAGAAAAGCATATTTTTAACGATTTAAATGCATGACATAAAATGTGGAGGAGTGAAGGAAGTGAAAGAACAATTTTAAAATTTAAACAATAAATTTTTATATTGCTTAATACCCCTCCAATCGGCTTTAAATAAATACTTGCTTTTAAATGAAAATTTAAAAAAAATAATTTTATTTTTTTAATTTACAAAGAATTCTAAGCAAAACTCTTTCTATCCCTCACCATCCCACTATCAAACCAAAATTAAAATACAAAACAAATATTAATTAAGATATTAAAAAATATTTTTTCATCTTTTAAGGTGAGATTAATTTTTTAAATTAATCATTTAATTATTAAATCTTTTTGTATTAATCCCATTTCCTCCCCCTAATTCTATCAAAAATATTCATTATCTGATCATTTCCCAAATTGATTAAAATAAATATAAATTGCAACAAAAAAACTTCCAATCAGTCGATAAATTTAAATAAAAACAATTTTTGGTCATAAAAATTACAAAAAAAAAAACAAAAAAATTAAAAGGCTCGTTTCGCCCGCGCACTTCACAAAACAGCGCAACGTTCACATTTCTTCTTTTTAGTCCCTTTGCCGCCAATTCTTAGTCAGTTTAGTGTTTCACATCCCTAAATCGTCCACTCATCTTTTTTTAAAACTTTTTTTATTGTATTTTTTGGTGAGAATAAAAAATATATTTTTAAATAATTTTAAAATATTTTTTTAAAAGGGAGGAGAGGATTGTTTAGGGAGGCGCGGAAATCTTTAAATTTCTTTTTATTTTTTTAGATAAAAATTTAAAAAAATGTCAAAACCACCAAAATTATTTTTTAAAACAAAATTAATTCTTTTTATTTTAATTAATTTATTAATTTCTAATAAATTATTTGCTGCAGAAAATGGAGGGGAAATTAATAAAGAAGAAATTAATGAAAAAGAAGAAGATAATAATATTTCTACTACACAAATTTCAACAACAACAATTACTACACCTATACCTAAAAATTAGTTTGGTGTTTTTTCTATCGAAATAAATATATATTTAGATATGTATGTATTCATTTAGAAATTAAGGGGCAATTTGGGAATTTAATTACCTTTAAAAACTAAGGGGCTGTGGAGTGAGAGGGGGAATGAATATCTTTTACTCAAAACATTTACTTATTTCAAGTGTTGGCTCCTATTTGGTTATAGCTCCAAAAATTGTCAGATCAAGATTGCCATATGCTGTATCCGTTAATATTTTGAGAAGTTCAGAACCTGACCACATTGTTCGGGTTGAAATAAGGGATTCTAGAAATGAAACAATTGCGGCACGGGTTGTTAGTAATGTTAAAACAGGTAGGGGGGAGAAAGAAACGAAAAAATAAAATAATTAATTAAAAGGTATTCCACAAACAATAACTGTTGATAGTCTTCCAGAAGAAGGTTTATTGACTGAAGAGCAATATTCTGTTTATGTTAAAGCTGAAACTGTTTGTTAATTTTTAAAAAAATATGTTAACATTTTCTTTTCAATTAAAGATAGCTTCCCGTACTGTATTTGAAGATTCTGCCTCAATTCGTGCCAGTCAAAAAAGTATTAGTATTTTTGTCCAAACTGACAAAGCAATTTATAAACCTGGCTCGGATGGTGATAAATTATTTATTTTGATTTTATTTAAAAATATAGAGAATTCTAACTAATAATATCTCGATTTCCGACCTTTCGGGGGTTTTAATTTAAATTTTCTTACTCTCGTAACTTCCCAATTATACATATTACCCATTACGAAAAATCTTTGAGTTATTTTTAATTAATTCCCCCCTCAAATCCAAAAATCAAAATTTAAAATAAAATTAATTTTTTTTACTTTTTAGTTCATTACCGAGTAATTGTTGTAACCCCAGAATTGACTCCATATTCAGAACCAGTCAGTTTATATATTGAAGATCCAAACCAAAACAGAATTGTCGATACACCAAAAATTGAATTGAAAAAAGGGGTTCATTCTGGAGAATTAACACTTTCATCTGAACCTCCTCTCGGAATTTGGCGGATTTTTGTTACTACAAAATCTGGACAAAAATTTAATAAAGAATTTACTGTTGAACGGTAAATTTTGGGGGTTTTTAAAGGGATTATATGAGAGTAGAGATTGATGAGAATTTATATATTAATTTTGAAGACACCCCCCCCCCTTTCCTTTCACTTTTAGCTTTATTCAAGCTCTCTCCACTTCTTCCCCCACAAATACCAACCCAAAATCACTCTATTTTCTAATCAAAAATTTTTTTTCTAAAATTCTTCTTTTTTTTCAAGTTATGTTCTACCAAAATTCGAAGTAAATATCAAAACACCAACATATATAACAATTAATGATTCATTAGATGTCACAATAATAGCAAAATATACTTACGGAAATGGCGTTGCTGGGAAAGTCAAAATTCGTTTAGAATTGCCATTTCCTCGTTGGTCTATACATTCTTTACAACACCAACCAAAATTAGAAAATGGTGGAATTGAAAAAACATTAAAATTAAATCCAATTGGAGAAACTTTTATTCATTTTGAGAATCAAGAATTGAGGGAAAGGAAATTAATTATGGATTATGGAGGGAGTACTTTAAGGTTAATTGCTGAAGTTGTTGAAGAATTAACTGAACAAACACGGAATAGTTCTGCACAGGTAGAGATGGGGATTTATAATTTGTTTTTGAAGTGAGGGGGGGGGGGTTAAAATAAAAAAGAAATATTTTTTTGGGTATTTTTTTAAATATTAATTCTATGATTTTTCCACTTGTAAAATAATTTTAAAAATAATTTTTATTCTTCTAAAAATATTTTTAAGTTAACAATATACGAATATGATGTTAAATTAGAATTAGAAAAACAAGGAGAAACATTTAAACCTGGATTGCCTTATTCTGTTGTTATTGCTTTAAAACAAATGGATGATAGGTAGAAGGGGAATTGAATAAATAAAAAAATATTTTCTTTAAAAGTCCAATAAAATCGTCATTACCTCGACGTGTTCATTTAACAACATTTTATTTTTTCCTTTCAACAAGTACACAAGAGGAGAAGGAAGTTAAAATACTTGAATTAGATGCACACGGAACTGCTATAATGCAATTACTTGTTTGAAAGGATTTTTTGAAAATTAAAAAAAATTTCTTTTTTAGCCTCCATTAAATTGCTCAAATTTCCGTGTCGAAGCATCTTATGACCGTTCAGGACATGATAACTTTACAAATTCCCCAATTTATTCCTCATTGTATGTTGAGGCTGCTAAAAGTCCTTCCCAATCATTTTTACAAGTAAATGCTGATAATCAGGGAATTGTTGATGCTGGAAAAACACTTTCATTTAGCGTTAAATGTACAGAACCAATGACTGCTTCTTTAACATATCAAGTATTTTAAAAGAGGAGATTTTTTAATTTTTAATTCAAATAAAAGGTTGTTGCTCGAGGAATTGTTGTTTTAAGTGAACAAATAGCTTTTCCACAAGAAGGACAGACTAATGCTATAATTAATTTTGAGGCTACACCACAAATGGCTCCAAAAGCAAGACTTGTAGTTTATGCAATTAGGTGAGGCATGTCCGGAGATTTGGGGAGGGGACAATAAAAAATAATTTTTTTGGACAAATAAGAATAATTTATACTTCAAAGCTTTTGAACATCTACAAAAGATTCTATTGCCATTTTATAAAACTAACTTTTTTATGAAGCAACCCAGTAAACCCTTTTTTTTGTTCTATTATACTCGGTTCGAAACCAATACCAACCCCTACATACTCTTTCTAACATACAAAAAAATTCACATATTTTTTTACTAAAACACCTACTAAATATATTTAAATTTATTTTAGATCAAAAAATAAAGAAATAATTGTGGATGCAGTTGATTTTAAAGTTGAAGGACTTTTTAGAAATAATGTAACATTAACTAGTAATGTTAACCAAGCATCGCCTGGAGAGCCAATTAAATTATCTGTCCACGCATCTCCAAATTCTTTTGTTGGTCTTTTAGCTATAGATCAGTCTGTTTTGTTGTTAAAAAGTGGAAATGATTTAACTAAAGAATTGGTTGAACAAGATTTGGAAGAGTAAGAGAGATTATTTTTTAATTAAAAATAGAGGGAGGGGGCTATTTGAAAAGAGAATTAAATATTTTTGAATAAATTAATTTCAATTAATAACCTGAAAATTGCATAGATTCTTAATTTAAATAAAATCATGATCTTCTTCCCTTTTATTTATTTTAAATTTTTGTCTAAAAAAATTAAAATGAATTAATTTAAAGATATGACACAACAAGCAGTGGAAATAGATTTTGGGGAGATTTCCGTATGAAACGTCGTGCTAGGTGTTTTTTTAAACCTAAAAAAGGTTATTCTTTTAATTTCTAGATCAATTTGGTATCCATTTTGGGGTGTTGGAGGGAGGGATGCTAATTCTATATTTAAGGTGGATTTATAGTACCTAATGTGTTTAAAAAAATATTTTTTAAGAATTCTGGTTTAATTGTACTTACTGATGCTTTTCTTTATTCTGAGCCTGAATCAAGTAATTTTAAAATTTTTAAAAAAGGGTGGCGCTGACTTTTTTTTAAAAAATTTCTAAATTTCCAATTTCCAAAACTTTGTTTGTTTTTCTGCACTCTATTCGTTTTTATTTTCGAAAATTGCTTTTTGGAAGCTAAAAATATTTTAAAATTAAAAAAAGCTTTCTTAAATTAAAAAAAACTTTTTTTCTTTGCTTTTAACTTTCTTTCACTTTTCTTTTCTTATTTTCTTTAAATTAATTAGTAATTCCGGAAGGCGTTATGTTTGCTTCAGGAATAAATCCAGCAGAAAGAGTAGATTTTGAAGAAGTCTCTAACAACAATAAATTAAAATCAACAACAATGCAAACAAGAAAAAACTTTCCAGAAACTTGGATTTGGACACAAGAAGATTTTGTTACGAGGTAATTAAATATATTTAATTGTTTTTTGAAGAAACAAAAAAGTCTTTAAAAATTAAATTTAAATTTTTTCAATTTTTCTATTCGTAGTTTTGTCTAATTATTTTGTTTTTAAATTGCTTTATTACACACCTAATTATTGCTTTTATTGTATATATTCTTGTCCTCACTTTTTGCACTTTTTAAAATTGTGTCCAGGGAAATGGAAATCTAATTTCATTGCAAAATTTCGTTGGGATTGAACAAATATTTTAATTTTTTGAAAGAGAGCCTTTTTGTATTTTTTTGTTAAGTTGGATTGTTTGGTTATCCAGTTAGTGATGAAGGGTTTGTTGGATTATTTGGATATCCAGTTAGCGATGAAGGGTTTGTAATGGATGATGCTTCTGTTGAATCTTTAGCAGTTACTCCAAACAAAAATATTTTAAAGCCTTCGGTGAGGAAAAGTTTTCCAGAGACCTGGATTTGGAGTGATATCTTGACAAGGTGTTTATATATATTAATTTATAAGGTTAGGGTGTCCATCCAACCATTATTTTAACCTTTAAAATTTAACATAATAAACTTTTTTTATGTTCCTCTTTTTGTCTATTGTTTTTTTGTCTTTCTTGTGTTAATTTCTATTTAAATTTTATTCTTCCATTCTTCTGGACGCGCCACTTCTTTTTTGTATTTATTTATAATTCTTAGTAATAATCTCTTAAGTACTGGTTGGTTATGCAATGCCCTTAAGCGGTCCAGTTCTTGCCAAATCTCATTCACGTTGGAAAAAGATGCGTTTCAGTTCAAATAAAATTTTCAAATCATCAGGTGTTGAACAAACTAAAAGAATTCGAACTGAATTTCCTGAAACTTGGATTTGGACAGATTCTAGCTTCACAACAAAGTCTTGAGAGGGGATTTTCTTCTTATCTTTTTATTTTCCTTTAAATTAATTTTTAAATAAAAAAATATTAGTAGACTTTATTTCACCTAATATATTTAATTTTTTTAGTGAAAGTGGAGAAGCCGTTTATGAAACAACAGTACCAGATACTATAACCTCTTGGATTTGTTCAGCATTTGCCATTAATGAAGAAAATGGACTTGGAGTAAATTAAAGAGAGGAATAATTAATTTTAAATTAATTTTTCTTTAGTTAGCACCTTCACAACTTAAATTGCGCGTATTTCGCCCATTCTTCCTTCGTTTGGAATTACCATATTCTGTAAAAAGAGGAGAGAAAATGGCCTTACAAGTCCTTATATTTAATTATTTGGAAACTGAACAAGAAGTGAGTTTAAATTACCTAAATATTATTCTGACAGCTTGTGTTTTTAACTTTCAAGATTTTGTAAACTTAATTAAATTTTTTTAATTATAAGAAACACAAAACCAAAATTAATAATTTTTTGGGGAGTTCATCTAAATAATCTCACAAAAATTAATTTCTAATTATAGGTAACAGTTACTTTAAAACCAAATCCAGGCTTTGAATTACTTCAAAAAGACGGCTCACCATTGAGACCACCTCGGCAAGATTTAAAACAAAACAACGGAAATACCAAAACGAATACTGTTTTGTATAGTAGATCGCTTTCTGTGCCTGGAGGGGGTGGCACTAGAGCTGTATATTTTCCTTTAAAGTTTACTGAAATTGGACAGATACGTCTTTCCTTGCAAGGACGTGCTGAACAGGTACTTTTTTGGGGGTTTGATTGCCTGTTTGTGGTCCCCGAAATTTCCTTAATCTCTGGCCAGTCTTCAGAATATACATACAACCAATCCACATTAAACAAATAATCTTTAAAAAGGCAAATGATGCAATTGAACAAACTTTGTTGGTTGAACCAGAAGGATATAGAGTTGATAGAAATATACCTTTAGTTATTGATTTAAGTCAAACAACAGAATTAACAACATCAACAACAGAAGCAAATGAACAACAAAATATTCAAACACCTGAATTACAACAACAACAATCTCCACCACAATTTCATCAAATTTTAGAAATGCAATTCCCCGCAGATTATGTTACTGGCTCGAAGAAGGCAAAATATATTTTTGTTATTAACCCCTTCAGAATATAGATAGGATAAATGACAAACGGTGCTTTGATCAAATTATCAACGCCAAATAATCCGCGCCGAGTTGTCCATTTCATTCCCCCCTATAAAGCCTAAACCTTTTGGCTTCAAGTTTTGAGTAAAAAGTTGAAGCCAAAAGGTATAGGTTTTGTGGGGGAAGTGGTCGAAGACAATTCGGCGCCGAATATTTGGCGCCAATATTTTCTTTTCTAAAAATTCTTTTTTTAATAATAGTATCCTTATCAATTAATAAATAGTCTCTATATAGTTAACTTTCGAGTATTTTTTATGAAGTTGATCAGTCTTAAAAGCGGTTGAAAAAATAACGGCGCCAAATCGTTTGCGTCAAAATGTCTTTTTAATCCAAAAGGTTTAGGCTTCTAAAGGTTTAGGCTAAAAGTGAACATTTAGGCGCCGATAACTTGGCGCCGCCTATTCTTAGCTAACTTTGGTGGATTACATCGAGTGAAACTTTGTTGTAGTTATTTCATACAAAATTTGATCAAAGCTCCGTCTGGTTCCGTTTCTACTTCATAAATAAATTGAAATTCAATTTTTGGCAAAAAAATTTTAAAAAAATATTAAAATTAGCCTTGGACTTGTTATTTAAAAATTTTTTTTAATTTTAAGGCTCGTTTTGAATTAATTGGAGATATAATGGGTCCAGTTTTAGCCAATCTTGATTCTCTTGTTCGAATGCCTTATGGTTGTGGTGAACAAAATATGGTTACGGTAATTTATTTGTTTAATTATTTAAAATAAATTTATTTTTGTTAGCTAGTTCCAAATATCGTTGTTTTGAGTTATTTACGAGCAACACAACGTTCAACTCCACAAATGGAATTAAAAATTAAAAAATATATGGAAACGGGATATCAAAAAGAATTAACTTATAGGTAGGTATGTAGAAGGGATGGATTCTCTTCTGCTTTCCGTCTGATGCTTTTTTACACCTTTCGATTTTTAGAATTCAAAATTATTGAAATTATTTTTTAGACATTCTGATAATTCATTTTCTGCTTTTGGAGAGCATGATCCTCATGGTTCAACATGGTTAACTGCTTTTGTAATTGTTTCGTTTAAGCAGGCGCAAGCGTTTATTTATGTTGACGATAAAGTTTTGGAGGTAAATTTTGTAAAGAAACCCCCCCTCCCTCCCCACTAAAATATATTTATTCAATTTATTTAAAGGATTCAATAGCCTTTTTAATTGCCCAACAACAAGAAAGTGGCGCTTTTATGGAGCGTGGGGAAGTTCTCCATAAAGCAATGCAGGGAGGGGCAGCCGAGGGTGGTTATTCTTTAACTGCTTATGTTTTGATTGTTTTATTACAAAATCATGTTCAAAATAAGTAAATTGTGAACTTGAATTTTTAATTAAAATATTTAATTTTTAGAGTAACAGAAAAGGCTAAAATTTATTTGGAATCAAAATTGGAAGAACAAAAAGTTAATTCTTATGCTTTAGCTGTAAGTATTTCCCTTGTATAAATTAAAGAATATTTTTAAAAGATTTCTTGTTATTCTTTACATTTGGCTAATAGTGAAAAGAAAGCAGATTGTCTAAAATTATTAGAATTAAATAAAATTACTTCAAATGATGGAAATGTTCATTGGTCTGGAATTAAAAAAGAAAAGTCTTCTCAACAAAAAAGTAGTGGGCAACCTGTTGATATCGAAACTACCTCGTAAATTAAATAAATAAATAATTTTTTTAATTTTTTAAAGTTATGCTTTATTAACTTATATGTTAATTGATGATAAAATAAAAGCTTTGCCAATTGTTAAATGGCTAACATCACAAAGAAATTCTCTTGGAGGGTTTTCTAGTACACAAGATACGGTAGAGGAAAATAATTGGGGAGTTTTTAATCTTAATTTAAAGGTTATGGCTTTACAAGCTTTGGGGAAATATGCAGAACGTTCTTATGGTGCTGCTTTTAATGTAACAATAAAAATTCAGAATGGGGCTGATTCACATACTTTTAATATAAATCCACAAAATTCTTTGGTTTTACAAAGTTATGAAGTAAATTTTAATTTTTTAAGAATATTTTAGTCTGAAAACTAGAAATTCTGAATGGGATATTTTCTTGCAAAGAGTTCTCCCTAACCTTTAACTCTCCCTTCTTAATTTATAAAATGTACTTTTCCGTTATTCGCCACAAACTGATGAGTGCCAGCCGAATTTGATCGGCTATAACTGTTCGATACTTGATCCTATACAAAAAAGTTATAACCTATCAACGTTGGCTGGCACTCAGTTTGCAGTCGTATAACGGAAAAGAACCTTATAAAATAATTATTTTTTTTTCAAAAAAAGTTGTCAAATTTGGATTCGCCAGTTGAAATTGAAGCTTTCGGTTCATCATTAGCATTTATTCAATTGCAATATTTTTATTATCGTTTACCTTCACAAAAAGACGAATTGTCCTTTTATTGTGAAAATGATTTAAAAGAGCAAAGAAACGGCCAAAGACTTTTATTAGATTTGTGTTGTAATTATACACGTTCTGGTGGACGTTCAAATATGGCTGTAGCTGAAATACAAGCTTTGAGTGGATTTAAATTTGATGAGGAAGAAATTGGGAAATTAACTGGAATTGGGGATTTACAAAGGGTTGAATTGGAGAAGGATGATACTAAAGCTAATATTTATTTTAATTCTGTGAGTTTTTTTGTTAAATAATTAATTGGGCTAAAAATATGTTTATGATAGTTATGTAGGTATGTTTTTTGTGTAAAATGAGAATTTTGAGAGAGATACATAAAATGTTGGAATTTTTTTTCTTTTTTACCAATTTTCCTTGAGAAAAATGGGCTAGAGGTAATGGAGGGATTGTTTTAGGAAGAGGAGAGGGAGGACTTTAGAAATATTTAAATATTAATTTTAAATAAACCATTTTTCAGTTAAGTGATGTCCCTGTTTGTTTAACCCTTTCCAGTGATTTAGTCTATCAGGTATATTTTAAGTAGTAGTTAAATTATTTTTAAAGTAATTTTTTATAAAGGTAGCAGAACAAAAACCTGCACAATACTTACTTTATGATTATTACCAACCTGATTTACAATTAAAGTCGAGTTATGGAGGAAATCAGGTATTTAAATTTTTTTTAAATTATTTCAAACAAAAAATTTTTCTCTTAGCAACAGCCAACAATCCGTTCCCTCGAAGATACTTGTTCAGAATGTTGGCCAGACCCCGCAGCATTACAGTCATCTTCTACTTCAACAAAAACTTCAAATAATTCAACAACTTCCTCGCCAGGTTTATTTTCAATGACTGCATTGTTGGCTTGTTTTTCTTCTTTGCTCACTTATATTTTTTGCTGTTATTGTTGTTTTTAATTAAATAAAAACTTTTAAATAAAAATATTTATAACTACTCATAAATGCTCTCTCTTTTGCTGTGCTTTTATTTTTTCTATTAAAAATTTTATTTTTAGCATTTCCGGTTCCCCCGTCTTCTTTAAAATTTATTTTTTTCATTTTATTTACCCAGAAAATGCAATTAAAATTTAATTTATTTAATTTTGAAGAAAAGTTTAATTAAATAAAAATTACTATATTAAATTCCTTTTGTTTTTATAATGAGAGCAAATAAGAATTTTTATTTTTTAAATTATCCACATTCATTATTAACTCTCATTATTTTAGAATTTATATTTTAGGTCTCAAATTGCAATCTTTTTTAATAATAATTCTTTAAATGCTGTATTTTTTAAATTTAAATTTCTGATTTTTAAATAAATTAATTTAAATTTAATTTTCTTTAAAAAAAAGATTTCTCAGCATTTAATAAAAATTATCTTAAAAAATATTTTATTACACTTATTTACTAATTTGCTAATTTTGCCATTTTTAAACTTTCTTTGTATTTTTTTAAATATTTTTTATTTGTTATTTTATTTTTCAAGATTTCTTTTAAATATGCTAAAATAACATTTTTTTAATTTAAAAAATAAATTTTAAATATAACAGGTTTTTCTGTCTGCTTTTTTGGTTAACAATTTAAAGAATTTACTTTTAAATTTTTTTAATTAATTTTTTTAATTTTAGCAAAATAAGTTGGGAACATCCATAACTTTATGGCAGAAAAGAAGAAATATAAAATATATATGTATTTTTGTGAATAATTTTAAAAATTATTTAGAGTGAATTTAAATTTATACATAATATATTTCTGGGTTATTTACATATATTTTTAATTGGAAATATTTAATATTTTTATGCAAACACATGTTGCGAATCAAAATAAATTTATTTAAATTTTGTATGTAAAAATAAATTGATTTTTTAAAAATAAACTTTTTGGAAAAAATTTAATAATAAAAAGATTATAATTAAAATTTAGATTTTTTAACATTCTTTATAGTTACATATTCCTTATTTTTTCTTACTTTCTGTGTTCCTCAAGATTATTATTATTTAGATGTAAATAACAAAAAGTATTATTTAAATATTCTTTTATAATTACTATTTTCCTCTCATTTGCTTTTTGCAAAAATGCCATAGACTAACTATTCCATTCCTGACAGCCCCATTTATTCGAATTTTCCTTTTTCCTCTTTTTTTCATTTTATGTCCCAATGTGTATTGATCCGCACAATGTGGCTGGCTTTGTGTTGAGTTTATTTTGTGGTGGTTGTGAGGTCTTCTCAAATATTATATTTTTAGAGGTCTGTCCGAATCTCCGACCTCATCACATTTCTCGTTTATTTCCTGTGAGTATTTAATGTTTGTATTAAAGTTTTTATTTATATTTTCTGTCATCAACACTAACAAATATTTCGATTTAAATGCTGTTCTCTTTTACCTCATATTAAATCATTATTTTTGTTTTCCATTCATCAACATTAAGTTTTAAATAGAAAGATGATTCATACAAATATTTTGAAGCTTTATCTTTTATCCAAAAAATATAAATAAAGGGATAAGCGGAGGAGTGATCCTTGTTTCTTCTTCATGACAGCTAAATAAAAAATAACTCGGACCTACAGTCG